AAGCTCCGCTCGTAATACTCGCTACACTGCGAAGCGGCTGGGAACTACGGTCGCCCTTTTGGCGGGATGCGCGTGACACGCGCCAACTATGAGTGGGACTTCGTGATTTGAGAGCCTCATAACTCAGAAAAATCATGCCTTGGGAGATTTACACCATTGTAGGTTTTGAAGGCCATAGATTCATTTGACATAGGTCAAATTTCGATGAATTTGGACTGACTCAAGGAGAAAATCCTCTTTTCTCACCTATTCCAATCAACTCCATTCGCTTCAAAAACATCATTGAACAATGTGTGCCAGAGACGATTTTGTACGTCTGAGGGGGCAAATTTTTCTAAGTCGGAGTCACGCTTGGCGGGGAAAGTTGTGACCCCGCTATGTGACTGTCCGTTGTCACCAGTCCGTTCGCAAGCTCACGCCTTCCATCACTCCGAAACCAAAAAAGGAAGGCGTGTGCATTGCGTACAGGACTGGTCGCGAGTCTAGACTTTTATGCAAAGCACTGTAGCTCCCGAAGGAGTATTACACGAGCTAGAAGCATGGTGACTCTGTGTTCTACCGACGGCTCGGTAAGAGCTCGGTATAAGTAGGTGACGGGCAGCGTTCGGCGGAACTCCCGTCCTTGAATATCCAGCTATGCTTGAACTCGGGGCCATCGTGTTGGGCCTCGCTGCCCTCGCAGCAGGTCAGGACACCCCACCGAGTACGTACCCGCATAACTACACCGGGATACCGAGTACTGCTTATGGCCCTGACTGGCAAAGCTGTGCGTACCTCCAGCACATCCCATAACAGGAGCCTGATGTTACTTCAATTGTAATGCAGACTTCGAGGTTACGGAGCCTCTTCCGAACGTAACCGTTACCCTCTCGCGCAACTGGGCGGGAAGTCTCAGCGTGAATCGCGCGGGTCATCCCAATGACACGTTGTTCTTCTGGGGCTTCGAGAAAGAAAACGGATCTCTTACAGCTCAAGCTGGAGAGAAGTCCGACGAGCCTTGGTTGATTTGGCTCAATGGAGGGTGAGCAGCAACCGTACTATTACTATGGTTTGTCAGGGTTTCTGAGATCGTGATGTAACTAGTCCTGGAGCTTCGAGTTTCTTGGGCTTCATGGGAGAGGTACGGACATGTCCCAAGAGATGAGCTTAGGCTGACCCGGTGCGATAGAACGGACCTCTGCATGTGACGAACACGTATTCGATCGTCCCGAACAACTACAGCTGGGACAAGTTAATTGACTCTATATGGGTTGACCAGCCTGGTAAGACTACTTTCATGATTATTTTGAATATTCAGAACACTCAAGGTCATCATAGTTGGTACCGGGTATTCGACCGCTGATGCAACTGGATATAGTAGGTGGCATCTCCCACCAATTATGGACTTGATGTAATGACGTTGTAGTTGCCGACGAGGATCAAATGGGGCAGGACTTCGTGAGTGGATCATTATCTGGTTGATGACGCCTCATGAACTCGAGACATAGCTTGGTTTCTTAACGAACCTCGTGGCGGTCTTCCCCAGTCTTGCGGAACGTCCGCTTTACCTCACCGGAGAGAGTTATGCGGGGACATACATCGTGAGTGGCTTAACGACAAAAAATCCACCTCAGACAACTCAATGGCTCCTGTTAGCCCTACATCACGAAAGCCATATTTTCTTCACCGAACCCTCCTGTGAAGCTAGCGAAATTCGCGATCGGTGACGGAGCTACCGCTTCCCTCTCGGTGTTCGAGATGTTGCCGATGGTAAGTTCGTAGCGGTCTTTGGAATTCCTAAGCGCTCAACTGGGTGAAACGTAGCTCAGTGTCATCGAAACGTACCCCCAGCTCATCAGCTACGACCCTGATGTATACGACTACTTCAAGACGCAGTGAGTAATCCATGCTTTCCTGCGCGTGCCACCTCCACTCACACCAATGCTCAGGACCCACTTGTGCGGCTACGACTTGAACCTGTCGTACCCCGAGACTGCACCCTTCCCCACCCTCCCTCTGCAGTGGGGAACCATCATCAATGGTTCAGTTGTCATGGACAGGAAGCGTAACAAGTTTAGCAAGTCGGCGTTCAAGAATGGATTAGCCACCAAGATCAAGCAGCAGGGAGAACTGCTTACTGCTAGAGATCTCGAAACGAGGGAAGAACGCAGACAGTCATGGAAGCGCGACCTCCTTCGTCGGTCCAACGACACCCTTGACCCATACTACGGATGTGACCTATTGGACCACGTCATCGACTACGTGCTGAACTACACTTTCCCTTGGAGTGAGTTATGGATGAAGTCTTTTCAAGTCCCAGCTATTCTGACGGCCTCTGTCATTAGAGGGCAACGATTATAATGGCTTTGACGTGCGTCTCCTGTTCGTCGCGCCCGGAGATGACACTGAGGCATGTACAGGTTTACTTCGTCCCTGATGCCCTTGATCCCGAGGCGCCTCTGGATCCCAGCGTTTTCCTGAACGGTTAGTCATATTCTTGGATCTTTGTAGAGTGGGGCTGATATGCGCATTTTTAGATAACCAGACCCGTGCTGCGTTGCATGCGCCCACCAGCAAGGACTGGGTTCTGGAGTTCGATTATCCTTTCGGCTCCACCTACAACTACACTTTCCCTGGTACGTCACTGCCCTTCGTCAAAAGTGCTTTTCTTCACACTGTGTGGATGCAGGAGGCGGAACGAACGAATTCGGTGACCCTAGTATGTATCTTTAAGCTCATTTTCCCAACCCAATCATGATCTTTCTTTCTCTATAGGCGTCGAGTAAGTCTAGCCGGCAATGTCTTTCTGAAAATTTGACCAAGCCCTTTTCAGACCGATGGCCTTCCTGTCCGAGTTGGCCCAGAATGCGACTAAGAATAATGTATCAATGATATTCTATTCTGGAAATGCTGACCTACTCGTTGGTCACCGTGGAACTGAAGTGACAATCCAAGTGAAGTAATTTACAAGGAATAATCGCAGATTGCTAATCTTTGGAACGTAGAATACTACTTGGGGAGGGATCCAGGGTTTCACTCGCAAGCCTTCCACTCCCTGGTATGACGATGATGGCAACTTTGCTGGGATCGTCCATCAAGAGCGGAATCTGACTTATGTCTTGTTCGTGGGCGCAGGGCACGAGGTCCGCAGTGGTTTGTTCCTACATGTGGTCAAGTACTGATGACTGTGTCTAGGTTCCTGAGTATGAGCCCGCCGCGGTATGTTCCCATCCCTTCCATTACCATGAATGTTATTGACGGTCTTCAGGCATGGGTTTTCTTGCGAGAATTTATCCTGGGATCCAACACCACTGGCCTTGTGACGACTTCCGGAAACGGTACAGTCACCGTCGTTGGTGGAGAGAGCTCAGTGCTGGCCGAGGATGTACTGCCAGCTGCCAGTGACCCCATATACTACGGACCAGGTACGACGGTGTCGTCGTATATTCCATCGAGCGCCACGGTGGCTGCCTGGGAGAGCTTCATTGCCACTGCTACCGCGACCGTGACAACGGTGGAGAGTTCCGTGGTCGCGAGTCCCGTGGTGGCAAGTTCTGCGGTAGCCAGTTCCGCTGTAGCAACTCCTTCAGTATTCTAGGCAACGCAGTGTTTATTAAGAAAGCGGACTCGGATTTGTGGTATCATTTATATCATGCGTCAGTCTACTTTGCAGATTGCTCGCACCTTCCACTCCGTTACAGTATGTGAAGTCTTCCCGAAGAGCTATCGCATATCGCAAGGCAGGTAGATGAGCGACGATTCGTCAGTCCTGCATCCCGAGTAATATCGATTGCGCTGATACTAGTTTCGGAACCTCTCGCGTCTTTAACTGGCCCGGGGTCAAATGCTTGGATTGGGTGCGATATTATTGGGTGTCGGTGCCCCAGAACTGACTCAACCGGGGCCCAGCACATACTATCAGGATACCAAGTACAGGTCACGGCCTCGACTGGCAAGCTAGTGAGTAGTACCCCTCGAGTACCCCCTCCCCGACCTTGTTATGTCCAGTGCATAGTCCAGGTTGACCGCATTCACGACGATGTATGCTGGCTCCAGCTTACATACTGTATTTACGTTACCACCTGGCCATCTACTCGCCTGCGAGACCGCGCCACATTCCAAGTTCCCTTATAAGGCTCGGTGACTTCCATGCTTGGAGCAGTGACCTTGTCACGGTGGCTGCTATGACATCAATGGGTGCACTGGATCGTATACGTCAGGAGATCCTGGCTTGTAATACTAAGTAATGGTATATAAGCTCTTGCTTACCCCGCACTCACTCTACTCACTCAACTAATCCGCCATGTCTGCCGCAGCTGATAAATTTCTCGACCCCTACACCGCCAAGGCGGAAAAGAACAACCTCACTCCCCAGCAGAAGATCGACGGTCTTCATGCCATCATCAAGGCCGCCGGAACTGGCATGCTCGTCACCAGGTCGTCCGACGGCCACCTGCACTCGCGGGCCATGACACCAGCTGGTCGTAGGTATCCTCGTATCTGACCCGCCGGCTTCATTTTAATCAGAAGTATAGCCGTGAGCCCATCCCAGACCACTTTGATCTTCATCGCGAACAACGCCAGCCATAAGTTCGACGAAATCCAGAATGACTCGCACGTTAATGTCAGCTTCTACGACAGCAAGACTACAGATTGGGTTAGCGTTGCCGGCATCGCGAAGCTCTCGCAGGACAAGGCTCTGATCAAGAAACACTGGTCGTCCACGTAGGTCATTGCTTTCATCGACGACGAGCTCTCTTGATAACAGTTGCTTTAGTATTGCGGCGTATTTCGGAGACCTGAAGGATGGTGTCCACAAGGGAAATGAGGAAGACCCACGTGTATCCGTCATCGAAGTCGTCCCAGAGGATATTCGGTACTGGAAGTCGACGGAGTCATCAATTGCGCGCGGGATCGAAACTGCGATTGACGCTGCCACTGGGCGCGTGGCTGTTCCTGGGGAGCTCATCGCAATCACCAAGCAAGAGGTGAGTTTATCAACCCATGATTATAGGACAGAATTGATATGACTCAATAACCTAGATCCAGCTGACCCAGAGTGTCAACAGCACATAATAGGGCGATGTATTGGAAAAAAAAATGTATTGCAGGAAAGATCGTAGCCACTAAATGTCAATGTAACAATAATGTATGAGTACGACGGATACTCCTATATGCCCTAACCTCGGAGCAGTATGGCGGAACGATAGTTGAACAAGCCACGAGAGCGTCAGCGTCCCAGCTCATCGACATGCGTCGCTGGTGTCTGAGGAATGAGACTCGTCGAGCAGAGGACGCAATGGCAGCATTCATGCTCACTCAAGAATCGGCTGGTGCCTGTGCCATAGGTGCATCATGACAGTTGTAGTAATCGTCGCCTCTCGACGCGTCTTGAATCTCGTTTCCCGTCGATGATACGCAGCATTTGCGTCCAATCTTGGATGCCGTCCTCGCACCCCGAGGTGTCGAGCCAAGGGAACAAGGAGTCCAGGAAGTGTGCTAGCGAGCAAGCGAATGTGCTTGACGTGTTCCGCGTTGGGAAGAACAAATCCACTGTCCGCAGCTTGTGACTAAAGACAGGAGGTTCGAGAGGAAAGGGAGCCTCATTGTCAAGGTCCAGCTGTAGATACTGAAGCTGCGAGCAATTGCGAGCGAAAGAAGTCAAGCACAGGATAGATGGTGCTACACTGGTGGACGCCGAAGTCGCAATTATCTCCAGCTTTCTCAGCGCCGGGAAAGTTAGCGTGAGCTTCTCCACATCATCATTGTTCATGCGGAGAGGTATTCGATGGAATTGCAAGCGAAGATCTTCTACTTGGGTGTGTTGAGACAGTGGGATGAACACCTGACCCCAGTTGATATAGCTAGCACTATCGTCTGGGCACGAACCCAGATGATGCACAATGATGGACTTCAGCCGATGCCGATTCAACATAGAAATGACCCCAAGAAGAGACTCTACCGGTGGCTTGTCCGTGATGTACAGCTTGACAGTTGCCAGTCGCGGAGTCGAGAATGATGCTAGACTTTGAGAAACTGACTTGGCTGGGCCTTTGAGGACCAGCTTCTCGAGAGCATCCAGTCGCAGACAGTCCTTGCCAGGCTTGCTCGTCATTTCCGTCACATCCAGTCCCAGGGTCTGTAGATTCCAAGCCGGCCAAGGAAATCTATGGACAGTCTAGACCCCTGGATGATCACTCCCGGCCCAAAGAACTCTCGTATCTCCGCTTTGCTGGTAAAAATGTGGACTCTAGGATGCGCGCTGACCCCGATAAACAGATGCCTCAGACTTCCCATCGCGAGAATATCCTGTATGTGGTGATAATCCAGCACGAAGCCTGTTCCCGTACGCAAAATGAGTTCTTCCACTGGTGCACTAGACTGGGAAAGCCTTGATAAAAACTTTTGTATAACCTGAGCTACCTGGGCGGGAAGGGTCTGTGGCAAGCGAGGTACCAGGCTTGATCCTCGTATCTCCACCCGATTCAAGGTGGGTCCGACAAACAATTGCAGCTCCGAGGACGTCGGTCGTATTCGTGGGACAGTCCATTGTAGTGACCGCAAGTGAGGCAAGAGTGGCTGTCCGGCGAGAATCTGCGAGATGTCCAGAAAGACCGAAAGGTCGACCCGCTTTTGAATATCAGGGTCATGAACCAACTCGCGAACGCGTGATGCATAGAATCGAAACATCTGGTACGCCGGCGAGTCCATAAGAATTGCCTCTTTCAGGACCTTTTGATGTAGGGGCTAACGGGATAGCAGTCGACTAAGGGCGTTCTCACATATGTATCTTCGTGTAGTTGAAAATACGGCAATACACTTAGGAGATGGATGATGGAGTCCAATTTGTGCCATAGCACGTCGAGCGCGATCTGCGAAAGCCCACGAGAGACCAGCGCTACGTGCAGTTTATCGGATTTCGCGGGCAAATGTCGCAGTATTTCATGGTAAAGCTCTTTGATGGCGAGGGGAATGAATGGTGTCTCTCGAGCAACAGTAATAATAGTCGATTCCGGGTTCAGGACCATCTTGTGTTGAGTAGTAGCAAATGAAGAATGATCGGAATTATCCCAGCCACTTGCGACGCGGTTGTGGCGTAGCTCAAGCCTCATGATGGTGGGTCTTTAGCGGGTGGCATACTGACTTTGTTGCTCTATTACTCATTACATGGACGTGGACAGGCCAGACATGGAGAAATGGAGTCGGTGACAGGATATAATGGGAGTTCTGAACAGTTATCTTTCATAACACCTGCAGAAGTCCCTACGGGTCACTTCTCGAGCTGCCTTGATCCACGTTTCTCGTCGATCAAACGCAGCATCTCCGTCCAACGTTGATCATCACCCACAAGTCCTCGTGTGTCAAGGCAAGGAAACAGAGAGTGGAAGAAATTGGCCATAGAGCCAATCTCTGATTTCGGATCTTTCCAATGGAAGTAAAGATCCAGTATTTGGAGTTGATGATTGAAGACTGCACATTCCAACGGGAGAAGGGAATCGATGTTGTTCTGAATGTCGAGGTATAGTTCGCGCAGCTTGGGTGCGTTTTCCGCGACCTGAACGAGGGACTTCATGGATGGGAGCCTGGAGGTGCTGGTTTCGCAGTGCCGAAGGTCCAATATTTTCAGACTCTGCCAAGTCTGCGCAAGCCGGGCCATATCATGGTCATCCATGGAAATTGAGACCTGGTAGAACTGGAGACGCAGAGCTTCTAGCTCTGCAAGGCCAGACAAGTGGGCAAATATCTGGTTCCAATTTATTGTGTATATCTTCTCATACGTACCCAGAGCGCATACAGCAATGATCTTCAAAGCATGATGTCCCAGGAACGAGAATATCTTCAATAAGCGCTCGGACCTGGGCGAGTCGGCGACAAATAACCTGACTGACGCGAGCTGGGGTACCAATATCGTGCCCAAGAATTCTGTTATTAACTTGGCGGGTCCTTTGAGGATGAGCTCCTCCAGTGAATCCAATGTTCCAGCAGGTCCAATCGCCATGCCTGGTGACAGATCCAGTCCCAGGACTCGTAGACTCCTTAACGAGCGGAAGTCTATCCCCGAACTTATCGCTCCCTGATTGCGGCGGAAGTTCTGTACGACCTTCAGCGAGGATGAAAGGTCAATCGTGTCTTGACGACCAATGCCCAGGAACAAACACTTGAGGTGTCCCATAAACAAAATGTTCTCGATCTCCTGGCGATCCAGTGTCATGCGCTCTCCCACGGACAAACTGATGTCTTGCAACGTATGGCCGGAGCCTCGAAGCCAACAGAAAAACTTCTATATGCCCTGTCCGGCAAGGTTCTCATGGGAGGCACGTTTCCCGGCTATCCGTATTTCGAGCCGCGGAAGGCCTGGGTGCACAAAAGTCTGCACCTCCGACACAGTCATACGGCTGTGCGGGACTGTCCACCGGAGAAAATGTAGGTTGGGCAGCAGAGGTTGGCCAGCGAGGGCCTGTGTGCAAGCGAGGAAAACTGACTCGCCAATCCGACGCTCTGCATCGGGATTATATACCAGTTCACGGACGCGGGCGGCATAACGAACGAACCGCTTGAATTCTTGTGATTCGTTCGAGAGCGTATCCACCAGGACCTTATGAGTTTATTAGACCAAGGGTTGCGGAGGGACACTGCGAATCACCCACGTATACATCATCCGCTATGTCAAAGGATGGGAGAACACGGAGGAGATGGATAATGGAGCGCAGCTCGCGCCACAACAGATCGAGCGCAATGTTGGAAATATCACGACAGGTGAGTGCCGCAGATAGCTTGTCTGCATCTCCAGATATGTGGCCCATTATTTCTCGATAGACGTCTTTGTTACTCAGCGGGACGAACGGCTTCTTCGCAGTTTCAGAGTCGAGCGTTCTCTTCTTTGCGGTTCCTCCCATAGCAGCAGATGGAGTCGCCTCGTAGGAGTGTGACCTAGGTTAGCCAGAAGGACACCAGAGGACAAAGAGGACTGCGGTGAACAGGGCTGACCGACCGATCGAAATATATGGTATTAGGACGTAATCATCACCTCATCCACATTGTAGCGTCGGGTTCAGGGTTTCTGCCGAACAACAACCTGCAATCAAGAGTACAACTTCAATTCACCGCGACTCGAAAACCAAGATACAAATAGAGATGATTGTGATCACCCTCTAAGATACCGCTTGTACACCTCATTTTCCGTCTCTTCTACGTACGGGTATCCCAGATTCCGCAAGAACTCCTCGAACTGCTCACTCTCTTCTGGCGGTACTTGGATGCCTGCCAGGACTTTACCCAAGTCTATATAGTCGTTTACATTAGTAAAGAATAAAATGGATAACACATAGATAACCCACCTGCACCGTGGTTGCGGTAGTGGAATAGGGAGATGTTCCACCCTGTCCGCATACCGAGGAGGAACTTCCTCAGCGCGCCAGGTCTCTCCGGGAATTCTACAGCCCCACCCCACCCAGATTGAGCAACTTCATCTCCTTGATTGTCACCAAACTACTCACCGAACCTAAACAACCTTTCATTCGGCACGGCCTTTGCGCCGCCAATCATATACCGCGCATGGCTCTTCGCCATCTCATCGTCGCTGATGTCGTACCCCTTCATGCCCTCGCGCTCGAGCGCGGCCAGGACGTCCGCGACCTCGCGTGCGCGCGACTTGGTCTCGAGCTTGAAGGAGAGGAACACGTGCGCGACGTCCGGCGAGTTGTAGCGGTAGATGAACTCGGTGATCGCGCGCGGGTAGATAAGGCCGTGCAGCTGCACGTAGCTGTTGCACTTTAGGGTAAGGGTGAGGAGGGCACGTAGACGAAAAGCACAGACCTTCCTGGTCGCTCGGGGATCTCGACGCTCAGCAGGGCTTCGCGCCCTTCACCGAGCTCTGCGCGTTCCGCGACGAAGCGCAGCCGGTCGAAGTTCATGTTCGCGCCGCTCACGACTGCCACGAAGCGTTTCTGCGCCCCGATAAGTTTGCTGTCCACGATGTGGCGTTTCAGACCGGCAAGCGCGAGGGCCCCAGCGGGCTCGGTTATCGACCGCGTCTCTGTGCGCGAAGTCAGAAGAGCATCCAGGGAGACCGGCGGACTCGAGGAACCGCACCTTCGAAGATATCCTTGATGGCTGCGCAAATTTCGTCGTTGTCTACTTTCACCACGCCGTCCAGGAGTTGCTTGCATATCCTGAAGGGTTCCTCGCCGACGATCTTGACTGCCGTGCCGTCACTGAACGGCCCAACTTCGGGCAGAGTCTGCCTCTCTCCGGCATCCAGACTCTTCGCCATAGCGTCCCCATCGAAAGTCTCGGCGCCGATGACTTTCGTGTCGGGCCCGCCGATTCTCTTCACGTACTCGGCGATCCCGGCGACGAGCCCGCCGCCGCCCACAGCAGCGAATATGCCATCGAGTTTCTCCGAGTGCGTTAGTTGCTTGAGGATCTCCATGCCCACGGTGCCCTGGCCGGCGATGACGAGCGGGTCGTCGTACGGGGGCACGAAGGTGAGGCCGTGCGCCTCGGCGAGGCGCGCGCATTCGGCCTTGGCCTCGTCAAAGTCGGCGCCGTGGAGGATGACTTTGGCGCCGAGGCGGGAGACGTTGCGGACTTTGATGGAGGGCGTGCCGCTGGGCATGACGATGGTGCAGGGGACGCCCAGACGGGCGCCAGAGAGAGCTACGCCCTGCGCGTGGTTCCCTACAATGCGAGAGAGTCAGGGATGGCATGGACCAAGTGTGCAGCTAGAGATTACGGGGACAGTGCGGGGGCTACGCACACTAACCAGCACTGCATGTGATGACGCCTTTCCACCGTTCATCGTCGGTCAAGCTGGCCATGAAGTTGTAAGCACCCCTAATTTTGAAGCTGAAGACCTCCTGCAGGTCCTCGCGCTTGAGCCATATCTGGTTTCCGAGCCTTGCGCTGAGGTTGGGGGCGAAGACGAGTGGCGTTTCTTTCAGAATCTCGTACACTTTGGAGGTTAGGATGAGGCGCAGGTAGTCTGGCGTGCCGTCTGGAAGGAGATGGTAGCTGGCCAGACGAGGATAGCTGTTTGAGATGGGCTCTGGTGCATGCGACGCATACTCAAGAGTCGGTGAAGCCATGGCAGTGTGGGTTAGATGACTCCGTCCAAAGATAAAGTTGGAACTGCTGTCGGGAGCAGCCGAGTCTCCGATCAGGCGCGTGGCAGCCAAGTGCGCAGCCGAGTCTCCGATCAGGCGCGTGGCAGCCACGTGCAGACAAGGTTGTGATCGACGTCATTGCTGTGCGTGACGAGGGCACGCTTACGCGAGCGGACATTCCTTTCTCTCAAACCGACAGACGTTGATCTGAGTAACGCTATGGATAGAGAACGCGCGCAGTACACATTCGGGTGACAACGGAATGTATGCTGCTATAACTAACCCTGCGCGAAAGCCTATCCATCCCATCATCCGCCATGGCTGACTTGCTAACGACACGAGCTCCGGCAGCCGTCAAAGAGCTGGTCGCTCGACACCCAAAGCTTGTCATTTCACTCTCATCCATAGCTTCTGTGCTCGCTGTCTCCTATCCAGCACTCTCCAGAAACTATCAGGCCTATAAGGACTTGGGCAAAGGTGCCCTCCCGGTCAACATCTTCGGCTGGGCGGTGGCGTGCATGATACACCCGTTCGGAAGGGAGACACGGAGCACTGCGGTGTATGATAAATATTCGTCAGAGAGCTGGTTAGGAGAGCCAGACTTCCCAGTCCGCCAGAGTCCTAGGCCAAAGATGGGATGGCATTTCCCGCCGCAAAGGCAGGCCGACCAGATTCCTTCGGAAGAGATGAAACTGGTGAGACCGTCCGCTGTCCAAGGAAACACCGCTGAAGAGGTCACCCGGCCCACAGGAAATCGTCAAGACATTCTTCCAGATAGCAGTCGACAACGTAAAGCTGGTTGGAATCGCGGGATCGTTGGCGGAGAGGGTGCACGCTGCTATGTACGTCCGAGGGCCTCCTCCGCACGCAGCAGCAGCACAGATCAAGGGCGAAATCGGGCATGTGCATGCTGACGTTGACTATTCCATGCACTTAGTTCTATCGCCTCGGGACTGTAAACTTGGTAAGTCACCGGCGGGGACCGCTGATGCAGAGCCAGCTGACTATGTGCCCATGGGAAGTGATCGAGCATGGATGGGGAGAGCGCCATCCTATGTCTGGGACACGAGTTTTGCCCGTGGAAGACTTGCTGATCTATGCGCCACGGGACCAAGAAGAGCTAGCAGTCGTGCAGAGGATAATCAAAGCATCTGTCGGATTTATGACGAACAGTCGGGAAGTAGTGTAAAGGATATCGTACCCTCTGAAGTAATTCTATCATCCCAATTCTTGATATGCGGAGTTGTGGCATGTTCGATATGCCCGCCGCCAATGCCAGGCCGCGGCAGCCACAAGCGCGCACTGTCCCTCGGCACGACGGATATGCAAACCATCCGCGAAGCGACCGCTGGTGAAGCCCATCGTCATTCATTACTGTACATTCGTCGGTCTTCCACGCAGGTAGCTCGCAGCGTTCTCTTCGGTGGCCATCCTTCACGAGTGATCAGCGGGCCGTAGGCTCAGATAAGCCGCGCGCAGAGCCGGCTATTCTGGGCGCAGCGTCGATATCATGCTGCACACCGTCCAGGGCGACGGCTAGACGTGCAAAAGCGAGTGGCAAGGGCCAGGGACCGCGGAGGGCAGGGGAGATGGAAGTTTCACGACAAGGGCAGGCGTGGGAGGAATTCCGAAAGAGGAAGGGGCATCGGCGCGCTAACCGAAACTCATAGCGTGACCGTGCGGACTGGAATAGCAGCAGACTGGCAAAACTCGGCCAAAGGACCCTTGTGCCCTAACGCTCCTTATCCTCCGTCGCCACCCCCGCCGTCGCCCGCAATGGCCCAGGCTGCTACGATGGGCCCGCCGCTCTCCCCGCTCGCCAGGGAGCCTCGCAGGTCGGGCAGGCGGCCTGCGCCCTTGTTCAATGCTATCGCCAGCCCGACGTCCCACTCCCCCGACCCGCAACCTCTGTCGCCGACGGTCCCCAGAATCAAGGAGCCCCTCCAGCGCTCCACGTCCAACGGCTCCAATCGCAACAAGCGGGCCAAGCAGGAGGATCTTGACGACGCCCTCGAGGACCACCCGCTCAAGAACGGCACCAACGGCGCCACCACCAACAGCCGCGCGAAGAGAAAGGGCAAAGAGAAGGAGCCCGAGAAGGACAGGGCTGCCGTCGTGGATATCAACATCGATGAGGCGAAGAACGGTGCCGCCGACGAGGACGCGCCCATGGACGGCCCCGACGACGAGCAGAGCGTTACCCGGTGCATCTGTGGTGCGTAGGCAGCCCGCGCGTTCACGCGTCTCCCAGACTAAATACTGTGTGGCATAGGCGACGAAGATCCCGAGCAAGCAGGCGAGTTCATGGTGCAGTGCGAGACGTGCAATGTCTGGCAGCACGGGCTCTGCATGGGCTACGAGAAGGTCGAGGACCTGCCGTTCGTTGATTACCACTGCGAGCGGTGCAGGCCTGAAAGACACGAGTCCCTGCTCAAGTATGCCCCTGACCACTTTCTTCGCCACGTCCTATCCTCATCGACATATTATCCAGGAGACTGAGCAAGAAGATGCGCCACGCTTCCAACACATCCCATCACAACTCTACCTCCGCCAATAACTCGCGCTCTTCTCGGTCTCATTCGCCATCTCACCTCCTGCACAAACCAGCCAAGAGGCGCAACACGATGAACAGCAGGGATGCCGCGTACGACGAAAGCCTGCAGGAAGTCATCGAGCAGTCGGCTGCGGAGGCTGCTGCTGCAGAAGCTGCCGCACATGCTGGTGGCCCCTCCTCCTCCGCTGTGGACAGTAGAGCAGCTGGAACTATGAACGTTGAAGGTGATGAGGAGGGTGATCCAGCCATAGGCGGAGCAAAGAAACGGAAACGGACCGAGGATGACACGTGAGTATCATATACACATAAGCTGATTCTGTTGCTGATATGAAGTGCTATGAAGGGCGTTAATCAAACGGCAGCGCTCCCCGTCCAGCATGTCCGACCGCCCCGCTTTGGCGACCACAACACGCGAAGAGACTCCATTGAATCCTGCCAGTGCAGCGCGGCAAAACTCCGGAACAACAGCTGCTCCCAAGAGTGCAGCGGCACGGAACAAGCGAGGCGGGCGCAAGAATGGGCAAGCCGCCGACTTACCTCCTACCCCGGGTGATGAAGGTATGCCGGTGTCCTATTCACGTAATTACAGGCATTTAAGCTCTGCATCTTCTTTAGAACCCGCCACCACGGCACCCAAGCGTCAAGCAAACAACAGAACTAAAAGTGGGCAAGCAGGTATGAAGCGCGCTCCCGCTTCGCAAGCATTCGCCTCCGCCGATCACAGACGGAACAATACAAGCGGTGTAGGTGCCGGGACCCACTCGAATACACGAGGGCACGCATCCACGTCCGCCGCGGCAGCGAGGGCGTACCACCAGTCGCATGAATACGCCGTTTCACAACAACCTCTGTATACATCCTGGAACCTGCCCGACTGGCTTTCACACCTGGAGCCGATGCTGCCCTCAAAAGAGCCGACACCGCTGAGGGTTACAAGTTCGGGTGCTCATGGACTTCATAATCTCAATTTGAGCGCCTGCGCCGATGTGGATGGCAGGGATTCTGTCGCTCCCGAGGGCGTGACAATTGAGCGAGGCGTCAAGGTCCGATGGCCGACGAAGAGGATGAGTGTCGGAGATATGAACAAGAGAGTCAGAGCACTCGTGGAGTGGGTCGGCCGGGAGCAAGTCAGCGCTTCGGAGAGGATGAGACGGAGGCAGGCCCTGGAAAAGGCCTTGAGGGAGGTCCAGGAGCACGTTGCTATTTCTGAACCTGCTGCAAGAGAAGACAGGATGCTGATGGATGACGAGAGACCCATGACGGAGTCCCCTGTCCAGGAAAAGTCGGAATTCGCGGCAGTCAGGGTGGAACACCTGGAACCGCGATATTCTACCCAAGCTACGATGAAGATGATGGAGGAGCTGATGGAGGAGTTGATCAGTTTCCAGGAGCGATTCGGACCCGGAGCCAAGACGAAAGAACGGGAACGGAGAGCTGCTGCAGTTTCGTGATGGTTTGTGAGGGATCGGACGAGTTGTTGTCTTGATTTAGTTTCTACTGCTAGACCCCTGTATTTTTGCTCCCCTTCGTATTTTCTCTATCCTGTCACTCTCCTCCGCGTCTCATTCTGCTGATCGTTGTCCCCATTTCACTCTCAGATTTCTTTATTGCTATTGTGTACGAGTCCGTTTTACGACTGATTCAGAATTGCAATATCCCTTGTTAATATGTATCAGTAATGGATCTGATCGTTTCGATGAGGCGTGAGGGTGGTCGAGATGTCGCCAGCAAGCGAAGCGTAGAAAGTGCGACGCCACAACGGCTTGCGCAAAACCAATTATACATGTACCTGCACGTGGCAATATTTGGTGGATGTGGCTGCGCCGACCGACGCAAACAACTCGGCCCTCCAACGTCACTTCGCCGTTCAATCCGTTCTGCCGTGCTTCATGTCCTCGAGCTCCCTTCCACAGGATGTGTCGACGAATGGAACTGCAGGCAACAACACGTCTCACTTGAAGAAGCTGTCGTTTGATTCATGGGATGACGATGCTGATGACCATGAACTACAAGAGGACACGGGGGACTTGTCGTATTCGTCGCGCATGGAGGAGTTCATGGATGACTCGGAGGGTGAAGTGCAGGGCAGCCGGGGTCAGGAAGACGACGGCGACGATGACGATGCAGACGAGGGCTTCGTCTATGAAGGAGTCGATGCCGGCGCTTCAGGAAGTGGGGGATATCGAGACCGGTTGCGGGACATACTTGGATCGGAACATGCTCCCGAAGATGACGAGCTCGATGAGAAGGAGGTCGAGAAATCGTTATTACACGACTCGGAAGATAAGATCTCAGGTGCTCTGAACGGGCGGGAGATACCCGTAAGTCTTGTGCATGCCATGCTGCTACTAACCACGAAGCAACTGCGGTGCTCATGCATGTCACCATGTTAGCATGTCCAGGTTTCTAGAGACGATACGCCATCTACGCCATCTGTATCGTCGCCTACGCGCCTGTCGCCGTCAAGAATGGCATCCCCAGGGCCCACAGGTGTTCCGGGCACTCCCTCTCGGCAAGTAAGACCGTTTCTGCACCCTACCATATCCCGACTGCGCTCGTTCACTCCTCAAGCATCTCGGAATCCGTCTACTACAGGGAGTGCTATAACTCTCCAGTCTTACGGGCACGGTGCTGCGTCACCTGCGCCATCTCACTTCTCAGCGATTTCTCGGTCTAGCACACCTTCAACCCTCGACCAGTATACGGAACGACCAGGGGTCACAAATCACCAGTCCGAAGCCGACAGACAGGTGTTCAAGTGGACTGTCTTGCAGACTATCTCGGATCTGTTATTCGCCAAAAAGTTAACGCAAAAGGCGGCAGCTGTGCTAGGTTCTCCGTCCCTCGGATCGCCTACGGTCATGGCGGCGAACGGATTGATTTGCATAGGCACGGACTCGGGAAGGATAGTTGTATTCGATTTCAAGCAGTCCTTAAAGGCTGTATGCGGGAATGAAAGCTCGGGTAAGTTCCTCCGCGATACTCAGTCAGTCATCCAAGGCTCTCATCGCGGTTCTTTTCAGCGGCGGCCGTTGGACCTGTCAGTGCGGTAGCGCTGTCTCACGACCATACTTACGTCGCAGCAGGCCATGCCTCGGGCCATATCCAACTCTACGATCTGTCAAAGCCGCAAACTGCAGCCCGCTTCGTTGCACCGACTTCAATCCCTGCTGTCGTCTCCGGGCGCCAAGAAGGGCATCTCTTGGGGTCTCGCATCGTGTCAGTGGGCTTTGTGGCTGGCAGACATACTGCGATTGTCTCTGCGGATGAGAGCGGGCTCGCGTTCTTTCACAGTCTAGGAAAGGTACTGTTCGTAGAGGCGAGTGATATCCTGAGGATCCTGGGCAAATATCCGGAAGAAGATCCTGTGACCGATTTGAGTCCGGAAGCGACCGGTCTTCGTCCGGGACCACTCGCGAATGGCAATGGGGCGTTCGGTCATACATTTCGACGACGTCGCCTGCGCAAGTCCAACACTATACTGTCGATGGCTACATTGCCTTTGGGTACTGCGCCTCACCCCACCGATGCCTACCACATCGTGGCCATGCTAACCCCCGTGAAACTTGTTATCGTGGGTCTGAAACCGACGCCTAAAACTTGGTTCCGGCGTCATCGAGAGGATCCTGACGAGAAAGGAGTCAGGTCTAAATGGAAAGGAACGTTGGCGTGGTGGCCTAGCGTGACGCGTGCCGGGGATGACGGCGCCAATTCGGGTAAAGGCAGAGCAGGCAGCGCTCTATTTCCAACCGATCCGATCCTGGCGTACTCGTGGGCAGATACACTGTACTTATTACGAGTCACTGAGACGAAAGCCTCATCAAAGTTGAAGAATCCTCGCAATGGCAAGACAAATACAGTGGAAGTCGGCACTGTCACGTTTGCGGAGGTGCGCAGCTGGACGACGGCGAGTAACGCAGACGTGCTTGCTCTGCAGTGGTTGAACGCCAATGTGGGTTCGTCCGATCCGTTTGATTTGTTCCCCGCATACCTTATTAACGCTGACTGGTCTCTCGCCAGCAAATCATCGTCGTAACGCCACATTCACTCGAGGTGCACGATGTCCGGTCCTCGAAATTGATAGAACGGGCAAGTTTTGATGCGTCACTACTGATATCGCCGACCCTGGGTTATACGGTGAATGGCATGGTGCCATACGCAGACTCCGTCAGCGATATCGCCCATAGTGTGCGGGTATACAAGGGTAAAGTGTTCCTCCTTGTACGTGATTTACCTTGTGTTAGGTTGCAGCTGCTCAGTTTCTGCTGTAGGGTCGACAAGACGTATCTGTCGGGACCCTCTTGACCTGGGCTGACCGGATACTCCACCTTGTGCAAGAGGGCGACTTCTTATCTGCCATCGAATTAACGAGGACTTACTACACTGGTGAAGCGCCCGGGAATCGGAATGGTCTCCCTGATACACCAGAACAAGTCAAGGATGTCATCGGTCAAAAGCTTCGGGATCTGATGACTGCTTCGGCTCGTTTTGCGTTCTCCGAGGAGCGGCTGGTCGAAACACATATGACGCCCGATGGGCGTGGTGTCGACCGAACCACCCTTTTCGAAGGCCTCGTGCAGACTTGTGCACGCGCATGCAAGGCGCTTGATGATTTCGACTTCCTGTTCGAGGACCTGTTCCAATATTATGATGACTGCGGCATAGCGCGGATGTTCCTTTTTCAACTGGAAACGTTCGTGCTGAGTGGCGACGTTCGATACGTACCCCCTCGTATTACTCAGCGACTTGTCGCCATGCATGACGATGACCAGAGGCCAGACTTAGTAGAGCGTGTCATATGGCACATAGAGCCCGACTGCCTCGACATCAACCAAGCTGTCCGCTTGTGCAAGACGCACCAGCTCTACGACGCTCTCATTTACCTGTACACTCGTGCTATGCGTGACTACGTGGCTCCCGTCGTCGAACTGATCTCACTTGTGAGGAAGGTCATGCAATATCGCAGAGCAAGGATGGAGACGTCCTCCCCATCACAAGAGGCCCAAATGTCGATGGACGATTTAGATATTGAGCCGATCATTCTCAATGCCTACAAGATCTATCCATACCTCGGGGATGTCTTGTCTGGACTCACGTACCCGAGCGAGGAACCTCTGCCCGAAGACGAAGCTCTGTCAGCAAAGAATGATGTTTATTCGTTCTTGTTCTTCGGCCGATCCAGCGTCTGGCCTTCCGGCGAAGGTGGAAAACTCGTCCTCACTGCGGAGGAAGATGGAGGCGTGGAACCGACGTATCCCTATCTTCGTCTGTTGCTGCGATTTGACTCCGAAGCATTTCTGCACTCTCTGGACCTAGCATTCGAGGACTCATACCTGAATGACGAAACAGAAGGTATAAGCAGGATGATCATAATCAACATCCTCTTGGAAGTCTTGTCATCTCCTGGGCTTTCGCGGACTGACATCACGTTTGTCAACATATTTGTTGCTCGGAATATTCCGAAGTATCCTCAGTACATTCTCAAGTACACATCCCCAAGTGTCATGCAGAGCGTATTGGTTGGCCTCGCTGAAGATCCAGATGAGAGCACCCGTGAAGACCGTCAGTTGGCCGCGGAGTATTTGCTGTCTGCTTATACTCCGCACGATAGCAACGCTATTCTCGATCTATTCCAGAAGGCCGGGTTCTATCGTATCCTCAGGTCTTGGCATCGACACGAAGAACAATGGGCTCCTTTGTTCCTGGCATATCTCAACGACCCTGAGCTGGACAGTCATGAACTCTTTGAGGGCATACGGGACGTTATGGCGAACGCTCAGCGAAGAAATGCAGGATCGGTTCCTCTGGATTTACTTGCCGTTGTCTCTGATGCCATCCCTCGCCTTCTACAGCTCAGCATTGCCCGCACAGCTTCTGTGATCGATATCTATGTGCCTGACCTCCACGCAGATGCAGCGGATGCAATGTCTACTGAGGATCAAGAATATGCTTGCTTCCTGTATTTGCGCCACTTGCTTGGACGGCCAACGGGTGAAGATCACCAGACCAAGTGGCGAGGCGCACCGTCATCACATGTACCGCCTTCGTTACGGCAACGCTACATCGAACTGCATTGCCAGTATGACCCTGCCAACGTCATAGACTCCTTACAGTATCTTCCGGCAGGCTACGTTGACCCAGCAGATGTCGTGCGGACCTGCGAGAAAAATCAAGTCTATGATGCAGCAGTATGGGCAGCCAGCATGGAAGGGGAGGCGGCATCGTCTTTGTCGAAGGTTCAATCTTTCGAGACCAAACTCGCGAGTCAGATAAACAGTCTATTGACTACAAGAGAAGGCGAAAGCACATCTCTTGAAGAGCTGGAGAAACTGATTACTGCTCTCCAGTCTATTGGTCGAGCTGGCATCGCAGTCTGCACGGCCTACGCAGGGCAGAACTCGGGAGAGAAAGCTTCTCTTGAAGATGTCTGGTTTCAGCTGCTACGCAGTCAGATTGACTGCGTACAGAATGTGTCCTCCTGCTGCACTGCGCAGGGAAACGATGTGTCAGGGACAGGGGGACGGATTTTGTCCTCCTTACGTTCTCTAGTCCAGGAGACGTTCACAGCATTGATGGCCGCCAGTTCCACGACTGATGTGTCATTCCCTCGGTTGTTCAAACGTCTGGTCGATTCTTCCACCGGAGCAAAGAGAATGAAGGGTATTCCATACACAGAGTTCAGAGCAATACTCACCGGGATGCTGGAATCGTACCGAAGCGATGGAGACATGCTATTGATAACGAAACACCTAATCGACAGAGATGTTTTTGAGACCACCGAGGAGCTAGTCCGTGAACGACTAAAAGGTTGGTCCCCAGAAAAGGGTATTTGTCGAGGGTGTCGTAAGGCGCTTTCGGGTGACAAGAATCAGCCTCAGATGGTTCAACAGGGAGAGCAGGAGAGTATTTTAGTTTCACGGACAGGAGCCATATACCATAGTAGATGCCATCCTTCCGACTCTATTACGATAACTGTATAGTAATCCTGGTTACCTGAGTAATGTCCCGTCGACGGACCGTGACCGGCTGCGGAAGTACTGCTTGCTCAATAATCTAGGGTTTACTCGCTATTAGCTGAGAACAAGCAACATGCTGCGAAGACCTCTAACCGTCAGTGAGATTTGCGTGGACCATTTCGCGCAGAGACTGGAAGGCAGGAATGCTTGCCAGATCGACGCCCAATCCTTCAGCATCTCGTCCAAAGGCTTCGACGTCGAGTATCATCTGTGACCGTATCCGTTCCTCATCTTTTCCTTTATCGTCCCTCCCTGCGGTTCTACCGAAGAGAGGCTTCTTGGCTCTCTGCAATTTTCGGAGGGATTCCTCTGTCCTTCTTAGTGAAGTGATCCAGTATATGTATCTGCAACCCCCTCATTAGGCTGTCGACGCGCTTCGGTGTCATGTAGGTGGGACATACCTCTGGACAGCGCTCTCAAATACCTCCGTACTATATGGCTTGAGAAACTCGGCCTTCAGAGCGGTGCCTGGTCCGTCAGCAGATTCAAGACCGAAGAAATGTTTGATCGGCTGTAGAATCGTGGGAACAAAGTAGCTCGGCTCGCTTGGTGTGCGCTTCAAGGACATGGCTCGAAGGGATGCTGGAATCGACCGAACGGCCTGCACGGCCTCGCAAGCGCGTCTGGTAAGAACAGCGATTACCTGGCTTGACATAGGATCGATCAGCAACACCAACGAAGCGACCATTTGCTGCAGCGCGTCTAGAAGATAGCCTTGTCAGATGACTGCCTTCGGAAGTGACAGGATATCGAAACCTTCGGGCTGGACGAGATCTTGTCCGTCGTTTTCCGGCATGTCGGGCAGCATCACTGATATTTCCTCTCGCCAAATTTTTAACACCTGCTGCTGCATAGCCCTGATATCCGTTATTGCAGCCCCGAGTTGGCGAAGCAAGATATCATCCAGCGCAGTTGCTTCTGCAGTAGCGGACTCACCACCTGGAGGAATAGGAGTCGATGTACGGGTGATAGACGTAGGTGTACCGGACGCCTGTGGTTTATGGTCCGTAAATTCCAATACAGCTACTAGTACAGTGGAAAAGTGAAGAGTACATACCAACGGATCACCACTCGGGTTCAAGTTTGCTTTCGATATCGGTTCGTATGCCGGAAGGCTCGAGTCAAGCCATGTCTTATATCTGCTCAGGAGCTAGGCACATTATCAATAGGTGCCCAAACCAGTAAATATCGAGGGATCACTCAACCTGTAACGTAAGTCGCCAAAAGCGAGATCCAAGCTGTGGGATATAGATCTGCCCGCTCCAGCAGATCTCGATGGCTCGCCATATCGCCCTAGATTGAACAGTCACGAAGGGCTCCGTCTCGGCTGATTTGAATCTTCAGTAAGTAGCCTCAGAGAAGGTAAGACACTACGTACCCTTATTTACGGAAGGTTCAATACGGGTAACTGCTAGAATATCCTCCAAGGGCAATATGATTTCCTTCCACCGTAATTGGAAGTAGACAGGCAATTGCCAACGTCGCTCAAACGAGATAAAGAGCGGGTGGTGACGCATGGCCTCAACGGACGAGATGGAGGGCGCGATGAACTCCAGCGCCCGTATAAATGCTTGCGTAGTATCGTAGTTCTACAGAGGACTTCTCATAAGCCTGTCCTGGTATCTGCATGTCATAACGACGAACGCATACTGACCTTACGGAACTCATCAGGTCTGCCAGCAGAAAAGACAACACTCCCGAGCTCATCCATAATGGCTCTGGCGATCTCTGCCCATACGACGTTTGCCATCATTTCAAACCCATGTTCTCCCCTCTGGGAGTTCGGAGGTGACTTAATCTGCTTGAATGCAGACGATGCAGCAACATTTGCTGCCCTCCGTTGCGAGCCTGACTTCTGATTGATTCTTTCCGCTGCATCTATGATCTTCGACATATCACGGTCTACGAACCGCAAGATGCGGTTATACAGGGCAGCCAGGGCATTGTCAGATTCATCGAGAAGCGGTACCGAAGAGCTGCTCTCTCTCGACCGGGTAGACTGGAAAGGATTTTCCTTGGATGCAAAGGCGGTGAACGGTGTGTAGGGAGTCCGGGGCGGAAAATAAGAGGCAGTTGCCGGGGGTGCAAGGGTATGTACTGGGGCAAAGGGTGTATGAGGGAGAAGCGGAGAATGTGGTGCGGCCAATGAGCCCGGAAAGATAGTCTAATGAATGCGATGTCAGACTTGTATTCATGTATGACGGAGTTCTTCAGCACCTACGTTCTTCACGAAGCCTCGGACGACCTCCCTTCGAAGGACGTCTTCCGCATCCCTCCAGAGGCCAAGCATGTCGTATGACTTCAGGCACTCTGTTAGGTCAGCCATCCATTTGGCCCTTTCGAGCTCCGTTGCTTTACCCGCTTTCCCTTCTTCTCTGCCCTCGACCAGTGCTGTCAAGGTCGACCCGAACAAGTGGTCCAAATCTGAAGAAAGCGTAGAACGTATCCGGTCCACTCTCTAACATGGAGGAAACAGACAACAGAAAAGGGTCGTATATTCAATATTAATACAGGGCAATGTAGAGAAGAGCTCACAAACCCATCGTATTTCATCTACAAAGGCACTCTTCTGTTCCTCCGCCTTAGTAACGTGGTACAGCAGCTGTGTGTATTCTGAAGATACACGCGAGAGATGCTTTGCACGGCGACCCCGTACTCTAAAACAAAGATGAGTGTGGAAACACGATGGGAGGCAATCTCGAGATGCACCTGTCTTCTCGCGTCTCCGGCTCGTCTTGAATGCTCAGGTGGGGACTCACCCTGTGTGCCAGGTCTCCAGACGCTTCATTTTCAGGCAGGGTAATGAGTAGGAGAGACTCAAGTCGAGTCACTGACTCTGATATTTTCAATAGCAAGTGTAAGAATGCCTAAGTCCGGTCAGGTGTGACGTCTAATGTGCACTCGGCTAGACTTGCCTTCTCCTCTCGTAATGCTGCTCGCTTTTGTAACTTGTCTTCGATGGTATCTTGAATAGAGTGTAACTCAATTCTTGATTCCTGCGAGATGCGCACGTCACACTGACTATACGATATGCATACCCAATGGGAGAACACACCACAATATGAGCTTTGACGTCGTTCAGAGGCCGCTTCAGCCGTTCGAGCCTGGGACCTTCCCCCCTCAAGTCTGTGCTGAGACTTATGAACGCCTCATAGTCGTCGTTGATGAGCTTGACCAACGCTTCCCTCAGTGTAGAAAGATACTCCCTCAGCTCTGATCGCAAGTCCGGCAAAGATGTGTAGGAGCGGGACAGCAGAAATTCCTCCACATCAAAAGTCTCAGCGGAGAGATATGGATTGTCATGCGACAGTGGGATGTAGATAGGCAAATCATGTGCACTTCCACTCTTCAGCTCTTCAGCCTTGTCCGAGACTTCTCTAGCGGCCAGCTCCTCCGCCAGGCGTTCGAGCTCGAAGGGGTCTCGAGTTGTGCTGGAGTCTGTGACAGCATTGCGACCAGACATGTGTACGGAGCGCAAGTGTTGAGGCCGTAGACTCCTTATAGCGTCGCCTGGCGTTGCTTATGACATGAACAAGTGTAGCGCACAATGTGACAAGCTCAAGTATAGCAGCAGTCCGCAATAGGTAGGTTCGCGGAACCATTATTTCGGCGCAGGTAGGTCTTACCGAGTACCGGAGCAGCTGGCAGCTATTCTGCATTATTTTGAGAGAGATGATACAACATAAATGGACAGGCAATGCAGAGTCACGAATGGTAGTAAAGGTACATGCTACTGATTGAGTTTTTACCGTCTGATTCCCCGAGCAGCAGGCATACCCCGACCGCGGCGCGCTGGACACGCGTAGGTCAGTGTTCTGAGTTTGAGCAAAGGCGCACATCCACGTACCATTCGCTGTGATGGACAAGATACGACGTGATCAGCTGTACTGAGTAACCCAATGAACAGGGAGTCAGGCCACGTACCCCGCATAATAGTGGCACGCCCACGCGCTGTACCGATACCTCTGCCCTTCATAGCGTTCGGGCCGACACGCTTGAACCTGCCCCAGATATATTCGGTCAACCAACGTGAAGTCCACTGGGCTATGACAACTCACATTGGTGCATTCTGCAACATATCTGGGACGATGAAAAATCTGACCATACTTCCCCTGATGTAGACCTGGTCTAACTGAGATACACGACCATCTCTGCCAGTGACTGTGATGTCTTTCAATGATATATTGAGGTTGTCCTCCGCTGCATCATACGGAGAACTCTGGTGAGCACTGCAACTAGGGAAAGAAGAAAGGCAAGGACGAACCTTCAGCGAGCTTGCCCCGATACAATTGCCCCGTCTTCAGCTCAACAGTGATAATGTGCCCCAGGGACTCGTGTAACAGTTTGACAGGGACTCCAAGGCCTTCGTTCGGCATATTTGATAGTTGAAGGTGGGGTAGGGCGAGGAGAGGCGAGGACACAGACAGGCGGACGAAACGAGGATTCGAGACGAGCCGCCCACGAACTTTACGAGATTGCCTTATCCGGTAACTATCCTGCGGACTTTGTAGTACTGCTGCAAGTCTGTAGTTAACAATGACAGGAGAGAATACGAAAACCAGTCGGATGGCTTGTGAATATATGTTAGACTATGGCTGATGTGCCTCAGTAGGTATAAGTGTGGTACATGTTTCGTTAATGTCGTAAGAATTCCAACGAACTGTGCTTGCTATGAAGGAAAGATTGTTTCCCAGGATCAGTCTGCCTTCGGAGTCCGCCTGGTTTCACCAAATTACCCGTCGTTTGACCATAAGATATCTGTGGCCGAGCTTAAGATCGGTGCTCCAGTTCCTCCAAAAAAGCTAGCCAAGCTTTCTTGTCGATGAGGCCCTCGTCTGCGAATAATATGTCAACGGCGTTCAATGAACAGCATCCACGATGGTTACTTACAGAACCCATCGGCGTCAGTGACAATCACATACTTGGCACCGAGCTTTACGAAAAACTCTTGTACCAACTCCAAAGGCGAATTGGACTGTACAGTCAGAGGTGCCTAGAAAGAGGTGTCGGGGTCGTGGTTCAACAACAGAGGCAACCAAGACGAACCTGGTCCATGTATACACTGAAATCGAACGGATCGACCGCAGGGTGATTCTCCGTCATCGAAGAGAACGAGATGGACGACGCAGCCAGATCACCGTGACGATATGCCTCCCCTGTCCTGAAATGAACTGGACTATCGGCGGAGTCCGCCACAATGCCTGCGCCAAGTATAAGGAGCGCCAGATGACACTACCTGTTGTTACGTACTGAGGGCATGCTCGAGCTCGTTGGCACCAATATAACCTATCAGCCGTAGACCTTCGGTCTCATTGTCCACCTTCCTGACAATCGGGAAACCTCCATCGTCATAGCCGGCAGCCACCAGGCCCTGTAGCTTGTCTCGCAAGCTTTCCACGGTGTTCTGCCTGTCCGCCCTGATGATGTCGACATCTCTGTCGGTCTACCAAAGACGTGCCGGGTTAGAAGCGGAATGAGGCGGCTGTGCGGGAACTGCGCTCACCGCATCGTTGACCTGTAAGTCTCCCCAGACATGATTGTGTTTTGCATCGAGATAAGGCAATTGAGAAAGCCTATGAGTCTGTTAGAACCTACACCCAAAGGCACTCCATTGGACGCACTCAATGACTAAATCATAGATTCCTTTAGGTTCAATCGCATCTGCCACAGTCTTAGCTACTAAGACCGACAACATGACCGGGACGGCGTAAGTGAGAGTGTCGGTGAGTTCGAACATTATAACAGCCAAGGAGACCGTTGTACGCTGCAATGATCAATTGGAAATGAGCGAACTCAAGAGTATATTTAACGAGAGATAACGTACCGTAGCACCTGCTAAGGTTGCAGCAGCACCAACCATAGCATAGAGTCCAGGTATGACACAATCCAGATCGCCATGACAGGATGCGAAGAGACTACTCTGAGGGTACTTGAATTGCATCCACTGCACCAATATGCCCAAGATTCGGCCGGCACAAGCACCCACGCCTAACGTAGGTATGAAGATACCTGCGGGAACCTTGATGCCAAACGTAACGATAGTCAAAGCTCCTTTAACAAGAAGGGCAACAGCGATCGCTTTAATGGCAGGCCACGCCTGCTTCGGAGGATCCAGCACGCACAATCCCTCGTGACTGTTAACGCTACCTGAGCGACACTCGGCGAACAGATTGTAAACCAATTCTGTACCGCCCATCCGAGTATACGGGTTCAAGAAGCTCAGCAAGGCTGTGACTAGGGTCACCTACATAATTATCAGCGATATGAGCTATGGCTGGGGAAAGAGGCGTACCAGCAATACTTCCGAAACTGGATGCGTCTTCAACCATGTACCGTTGCGTACGTGGCGACTCCACCTGTAGTTCAATTTCGAGAAGTAGGAACCGTAGACACCCTAGTCACGTTACGAGAAGTCAGCGGCAGTATTGGAAGCAATAACGCATTCCAGTACGTACGCCGAAGACACCCAAGAGCACGAAGAAGAATAATTCATAGGCGTGCCAGTCCTAGTGGGAAGCCACATGATAAATGGACGTCGCTTGAGTTGTGGATTACACTGCGGACCTTATCGTATGTTACTTGGAACAACACCAGCTTGCCAGTGCCGAAAGGATTCAAGAATCGAAGGGTAATAGCTGCGATCATCGCGCAGAAAAAGCTGTCGCTAGGTAAGCAATCACATCTCAATCTGCGCATGGGTAGTACCCACCTTCGCCACATCACTTTCGGAGGGAAGAAGTAGGATACCTCTTCAAGACTGAACAATGTACCACCGATGGGAGCACCGAATGCAACTGCAACACCGGCAGCACTGGCTGCGCTGAGAATTTCACGCCGCTTTCCTATAGAGAGCCGGGTAAACAAGATTTCTCTCAATTTGACCAATATGTCCCCAGAATACCTTCATTGTTCTCGTACTTAGCGAAGTATCTGCTCACGATGTTGCCGACACAACTAGCGATATGAACAAAGGGCCCTTCTTTACCTAAAGACAGACCGGACGCGACTGAGAGGGCTAATCCGACAGACTTCGTGAAAAGAGTTCTTCCACCCAGATATCCATGAATAACGAAACCAGACAGAATGGTCTTGATCTCAGGGATACCGCTCCCAGCAGCATAGTAAAGCACCTTCCGCTTCGGCTCAGGGACTGCCAACGCTTCGTGTTGCTTGTCCTCTTCGTCAAAGGAGGGACCAAGCACTCCGGAGTCTTTCCGGGTGGAGAAAGAATTGGACGCGGTGAGATGTATGGTGAGAAAAGCTGAGAGCAAAGCCAGGACCAACTGAGGAATATCGTTTCAGAGTAGCACGTGGAAAACGACCAGGTACTCACAGCTACGCAAGTGTAGGCAACATACTGGACCATTTCAGCATTGCCTTGCCCCCCTCTCTTCACCGCTGGACCAAACACATCGGCCCAAGTTCGCCAGGCATCACAAACCTCGTCGGCTGCACCGGTCAAGGAAAGTGCGGCACGGGTAATGAAATCATCTTCGCCTTGACTTGGGCAGCAGGATCGCTTAGCCTTCCACCAGCCATTCCGACAGAAACCTTCTTTTGAGTCAAACAACCACTGCTCGCTCCGAACAATCAAGAAGGCTATAACGGCCGTGAGGAAGCCGACAATGGTCACTACGATCCACCCTAGTGTCCTGTCTATTTGGTTGCGCATTCTGCCCCTGAGTGACTTGCGTTTGCGCAACCTTGAGCGGCGGACGGAGTCCTTAATGGCGTCGTGTAACCAATCGATTGAGGTATAAGACGAATACCAAACACGAATACCGTTTGTCCTGACGTCTCTCTCCTCTTTCGTCTCATCAGCCTGAGAGCTAGCAAGCGATGCATCATAAGCGGAAATAGGACGCTGGCGTTTAGACGGCAACTGGAAGTAGGATGAGATCTCCCTCGCTGTCGACAGTGGTGTTCGAAGAGGAGAGACGGGATTAGAGACAGAGACCTTTCCTATCCTGAGTCCAGGGAGAGCGGGAAGATGGTGACGAGATCGGAAACCAGGCTTCTTGGAAAGCCTCGCCTGTGGAGGTAGCGTACCATAGGACGTACTACGCAGATCCTCTCCAAGGGCAGTCCTTTCGGTTGGACCGGTGGCAGGTGGTGTGGTGGCTCCTATATTTAAGAGCCGTTGACGCCTCCAAATAGTGCTTGATGGTCCACTCAGAGGACCCAATGGAGCATCCTCATCCGGTTCGCCTGCCAGCGCCGGATTGGACGTGCTTCTCTTCAGATTAGGCATCACCGACAAAGTTGGCAGCGACGATGACAGCGAGATATGGAAGAGGAGCTGCCTGCTGCGACGCGTGCAGGTAATATTATAGTAGTCGGAGAGCTGCCAGTTCGGATCACATGCGCCGTGACCGGACGGCACTCGTGCTCAAAGATGAAGCAGGCCTAGGAATCGTTATCCTTTCGAAGCGAGCAGACTGCAGGTACAACAGTCCGTGCAGCAGGGAAGACGGATAGGATGGTCGCCGTCTTATGTACGAGGGCTCGAGCTCTATCATCCGACGCACTCAAAATGAGACTTAAGCGTCGGCCCCGAGCCACCTGTGAGTGTAGACGTTGGTAGAGGTGCTGCAATAATATCCGAGTCCATTCCTCCCTGTACGTGTGTAAGCGCGTCTATAGTTATACTTGACAGCTGCATGTACTTGGGTATACAGTACATAGCTGTATGTAAACTGAGTTGTTGACCAAGTCTGCCATCGGCGGGTGGACCATTATCAATGCATGTTAGATCATGCAAATATGGACGTAAACACCTCCTATACAGTATGCACACCAGTCAAAAAAGGCAGAACGTACCACAGGCAGTCAGAGCGCCTTACAAAGCGGAACTCGTCGCGTCAATGTGAGTCGCACCATCGAGGTACCTACCACATACCTCCATTATACGGGAGTCAAAGGTCAAAGGCTACATTGGGATGCGGTCCACCTCTTCCAAGCTCCAGTATTTCTTCATATTCTCGCCTTTGAGGTCATCCACCTGACAAGGAGAGCGGCAAACGTCAGCATACGTTCCGGGTGAGACTAGTGACGCGGCTACTTCTTCGTCCAAGTGTTTGAACAGGACGTCTCTGAAAGAGTCCAAGCACGCCCTCATCTCGGTAGGCGAGTAGGACGACGGGTCATCTGACCATTTCTTGATGAGTCTTTCTAGATCATCCAGTCCTACGGAGCTCAGGCATAAGAGCGTCCACTCTCTGCAATGCGGGTAATATGACGAGATCTCCACCTTTATGGATGGCCTTGTGTGACCTGATATGCCGTCCGTCCTCCGCCTGCTCAGAGAATTCCGGCATTCGTTCTGCAAGAACTGGGAAAATATGTCGCTCTTCAAGACTATGGTGAAAGTTGAGATCTAAGCAAGTTCACCGTTTTCAGGAAATTCTCGGCGACAACGGAGTAAGTAGCATACGGGTGCACAAAGACTTCGCTTCTTGCAGATAGTTTGATAACGACATCCCTCGTCGGTTGAAAGACCCGTCTGCAAGCTTTTTATATACGTGCCTTAATAGGTGTCTTCAGTGTTACAGGTCCATCTTACTTCATAGACGACGTTGACTGTCTGAAATGCATGAGGATATTCCAGCTGGTGAGCAAAGGGGCTGCTCACATTCTCGCTTGAACCACTCGTGAAAATGTGCCATCGTCGTACTCAACTAATATACATTCAGTTCAAATTGGGATAGGAGGATTTGCAGACGAGACGGGGCCGTACTCTGTTCCATCTCCTCTCGTCCTGACTGAACAATCTTCCTGAAGACATCTTGACGGTTATCCTTGACAGTCCAATTTGGCAAAACGGACGGACAATCGCGTTCAGCGGGTGTCTTAGCTTCACAGAGATTAGAGCTTGATTTACGAGAAAGCGAAACAGCGTGCAGCGACGAGTTCGAAAGCCAAGCTCTGAGACTGTCTGGGAAGGCGCGGTCAATGGCAAGCCTTCTGGAGACCACCTGTAAAGTCTCGATGAGCGAGAAAGCGCGTTAAGTATTGTAGCGCCATGGCATGTCAAGAAAAGGCTCTGTATGGTAAGCGGGATGCGGACAACCTGCGAGCACCCTCGAAGCGCCGAGGGCTCGAGTACAACAATCATGATCTATGTGGCTTGGCTGATGACCTTTTTTTTCGAGGAACGATATGACGTCCGGGCAACCAGACTCAGTCCGGCTGATGACAATTCGTCGTATGGATCGTGGACGGCCTTTGAGGTATAAACGGTGCAATACTTACAGAACGACCCGAATGGAGTCAAACAATATGCGAGTTCTCGCATCGCACTGTATGTAGACGTCGCTAACAGCTGCTCCAACTACAGTCGATGAAAGAGATAGCTCGAGACTGAACGCATTACTGCGAATTCTGCAGGGGGTCGCATATTGAAAGAGGCCAAGTGAGCAGCAAATCAGAAACACAATAGGTGGGCACGATAGGATAATTCCTACTCAGCGCTCAGCGCTCAGGCCTCAGCCCTCAGGCGCATGGCGTGCTTGGACTCTCACTCGGCGAAATCTCTTCGCACACCATTACATACAAACATGTGGTATGAGTGACAGATCGCAACCTCAGAAATCAGACACCCGTCCCTTAAAGCTCCAATCACCCTCATCGTCCCGCCATTTCTTCACTGGTTCTCTTTTCGGCCCGCCAATTTCTCCAGTTCTGGGGTTTACTTCGCCTTCGAACTCCGCCTTGAGAGGTGCTCGAGCATCCGGATGCATGGCAAGCTCAGCTTCTGCTTCCGACCGGTCCGACGGTCTGGAAAGGGGCGCCTGTGCAGCACGCACAAGGTCCTCGAACTCTTGCTGCTGCTCCGCCGGTAAAGGGGGCGGAGAAGGACGGACCAAGGGTGGAGACTGCATAGTCACAGACGGTCGAGAGGACATATTACGACACGACCAGGCGATCCTTGGTAGCAGGGCCTCAGTAGATAGAGATGCCGAACGTAGTCCATGTGCCATGATAAAACATGCAAGCATTGTGACGGCTGCCTCTATATAACGGCGAAGATCAGGGTTGTGTGCAAGGATTTTACGACCTGAAAGCACGAACCTCAAGAACGTATGCCCGATTCCAAGGGATGAAAGCAAATCACATTAAATGACAGCTAAGGCGTGGCAGACGTACAGGGCAGACGGCGGATACGAGTCTTAGGACTTCCTGCAGCACACTGGGACTCGCTGAGCAAGACGCAACCGGAAAGGGGAGCGATAATATTGTATCACGTGCTGGATCGCGTGGTTTCTCAGCACTGCTCAGCCACACCCTCACACCCTTGCGGTTCCGCAACGAGCGTTCTTGAACTCAAAGGCTATTGTAAGTCTGCTGTTTCTGACGTCGTCTTGACAGACTAACTCAACTTCTTCTGGGACTGCGTCCGAAGATCAGCTCCCTTCCCACTGCAATCTAACTATATCCGTCGAGAAACCTCCCTCGGCATGGACCAGAATTAGGATTCTGACCGCCTCACGACTTCCACCGTGTACGTTCTCCATGCGTACCTTGGGAAGGCTGGCGTTCTAATGCTCCCGCATTATCTAGCCCCGCCATCCCTGCTGACCTGCTTTCATCGGTCCGCGCCTGATTTATTCTCGGATTAATGTCCCTTGAGACTGCGTGCACCACCTGCTCCGGAGAGTCATGCAGAACAGACTCGCGCTCCGTGACCGCTAGCGGTCCGATTGCTATATGCTCGCAGATTGGTCAAGGCTATAAATTGATACCTGTGTCTCTAATGGGTTTATCTTGTCCAGCCGTTGCTTGTCAACATGCGAGGTCCTTTGTCTGCCGTGATCCTTTCACTGGCTTGCAGCGCAATCGGAGTTCCAGCTCCCGATGCAGCAGCGGCATACCCTAATCCTCTTGCTCTGCAGGGACCCTCCTTCTTCGTCCATGATCCCAGTTTAGTCCAGCGCCAAAGTGATGGAAAATATTTCCTCTTTACGACCCACGATAAAGGTGGCATTCTGACAGCGACACAATTGGCAGGGTGAGACTACACCTTCCTTGGCATATCGTCTAACTCATTATTTATGTACATAGTCCGTGGACGGAAGTTGGTTCCATCTTGCCGAACGATTCCACGATTCAGCTTCGTGAGTTCCTGCAATTTATCAGATCCTAATATCTGATGTCACAATTCAATGCACAACACTTTACAGCCGGGCGTGACGACATATGGGCACCCGACGTGTCCTACCACAACGGCCAGTATTACGCATACTACTCGGTGTCCACCTTCGGTTCTCAGAATTCGGGGATCGGGTTGGCAACTAGCCCCACCATGGACCCTGGTACATGGACAGATCACGGACTCGTGATACAGTCTACCACGGGTGCCCAATACAATTGTATCGACCCGAACTTGATCGTAGGCGGCGATGGCGTACCACGGTTATCATTTGGTAAGACAAGTAGCATAGATAGTTTCTGCCCAACTGAATTTGCCTAGGTTCTTTCTGGGTTAGTAGCAGGGGATTCGACGGCAACACGTAGGAACTCATCATTTTCGTCAGAATGATATTTTCCAAGTGCAATTGGGGTCGAACCTTCAAAGTACCGTCGGCTCGCCTGCACAACTGTCCTACAATGCTACGGGTTCTCATGCTGAAGAGGGATCTTTCATATGGCAACGCGGCTCCTATCACTATCTGTTCATCAGTAGTGGTAAGTTCGTGAGATGAAAGCGCTATTGCATCCCTCACGTCTCTTCTTTGTCAGGTACTTGCTGTGGCTTCGATCCGAATAATTTACCAGCGCCTGGGGATGAGTATAAGGTGCTTCAAGTTCCGTGCCTTTACGAGTTTACCGATTTATAATCTTCCTCCGTGATATAAACATGACAGGTGTTCGTTGGTCGATCGTCTTCGCCGAATGGTCCTTTCGTCGACAAGTCGGGTGTCGACATGCGCAAAACTGGGGGAACACTAGTTCTGGCTTCGCATGGTAACGTATATGCCCCGGGAGGTCAAGCCGTCTTCCACGACACCAAATCGAATAAGGATATTTTCGTGTACCATTATGTGCCAGTGAATTCGCCTTCGCCCTACAACGACTCTTACGCTACTCTTGGGCTGAACGGCATCGATTGGTCCTCAGTGAGTTCTCTTCATCTTGAGAAACCTCAGACTTCTGAAATAGACGCATCGCAGGGCTGGCCGGTCTTGACGAGTTTATGACCGGGATCACCGCGGCAAAGGGAGCGGTCCGTATTGTCGTGTAGTGACGGTCCGTGTCTCTCCGTGCCCGCGGACTTGTAGGCGCATGTACTACCATCAGTACTGCGCACCAATCGCATCCCATGCTATCCTGTACAATAGTATAGTGCTGACCTGCGACCCCGGCAACGAGGCGTTCATCGCAACAGCGGTCGATACGCTTGGACTAACCTCGCGCTATAAGCGCACATATGCTGCGGACTGTCGACTTGCGTGATCGCCTTTCCGGACGAAACAAAGTAACTAGGTACACCGATCTAAGATCGAGAGCGTCAAAATGCAGGTAAACGGATTCCGATACCTTCCTCCGGGACAATGCAGTGCAGGAGAGGGGCTATCTCTAGACTGCCATCGAGGCTCACCCAGAATAGCGCGAATTGGGTTTCGCGACTGTGTCCTGTGCACATGTCTGCCTACCTTCGGTAGGCCTTCGGCTTTCATTGCTTGTAAAGCTTTGTAAAGCCGAAGGCCTCGAGAGGAGACATACGCAAAAACCTTTAGCCGCCTGAGTTACGATGATAATGGGGTAGCTTCACAACGTCATGACCTCAGGCACACGAGATGGCCGACAACAGACCCAATCAAGGCTGATCTTATCTGGCCTATAGAAAGAATCAACATTCTCATCCCTTGGAGTCTCTTCCCTGCTGCGCGGCTCAGAACACACATTTCATTTAGATCACGTTAGGCACTGTCAGGCTCCAACTGCGAAGTGACGGCAAAATAGAGAGTAACTCAGCGACCGGTTCTGCTAGCAGGCTGTGGCAAAGTCTCTGACTTCACGCCCGACAAGACCGTCGGCCTAACGCCCTTTGCTGGCAACTGTGAAGCATGAGTGTTTTCGAGGATGTGCGGTTGAGCTTGATAGACTGCGGAGAAGGAAGAGAAATCGCCCTCGGTACCGCAACATATTTCGGCAAAACCTGGTTGATAATCATAAGGTCAATCAACCCGCATGTGGATACGAGGGGAACAAATTAGCGGTGTTCGGACACGGATGTAATAACAGCACTGACAGCTTATGTATCCGTCAACCTGCCACACTGCCTACAACCGGGCACTATTCTAAAGGCTCGTGTCTGCCGCTTGGCTTGTTAAAACACAAGGCGATAACAAGCAGCTTGGCGAGACTGGTGGGACGGAAGAAAGAGGGAGAGGGAAACAGAGGGACTGCCGGGCGCACCCGGATTGCATTGAACTGAAGCCGGAAGGGGATCTAAGATCCAGCTAGATCTGCATCGCGTGCGGTTACCAGAGTCGAAACGTGCTAGCGCCCTTCCTGTGCTTGCCCTCTTTCCTTTATAGATCTGTATACAGAATGCCTTTAAGTCCCTGACTATCCCACTCTTACCTTCTTCCGCCTCTATTGCTGCCTCTGTGCCTTTTCTTGACTTTTTTTTAATGCAACCGCCCGACCAGCACTCTCCTTACTCTCCTTATTCTACGCATGTCATCAGTATCGAAGATTCCCCGTCCTCGTCTGCGCATCCCGCCTATCCCAGGCGTTCCGCATCTACAGGCAAGCGCAAGGTAGAAAGGGCCTGTGATTTCTGTCGCCGACGCAAAACCCGATGTGATGGACCAAAAATGCCGGGCAATATCTGCACGAATTGCACTCAGAACCAGAAGCCTTGCACATACGTGTACGTCGCATCGACTCGGCCATAATTTGGAGTATTAACCTACTGCCACTGACTTTGCGATGGATCGTGCTAGGGAAAGCTCTAAGCCTCGTGGTCCCCCAAAAGCGTCGGTAGCATCACGGTTTTATCTCCGATAATCACCCACATATGAAACTCTACAGATATGTTACAGCGCTGGAAGATAAGGTCGAATATCTAGAAGCATATCTGGACAAGGTGAGCGACCCGCCATTACTCCCACTTGCCACGTCGCTTGCTATATGCCATAGCTTCCTGAGGTGTTCTATGGTTTTATGCATTCCATGAGTTTATCTTCTGCGGCAGTTGGAGTCAGTCATCTCACTAAAACTACATCAACAGCTACGACCAGGAGCGGATTTTTCGGAATTCCTAGGTCCACCCGTGATACGGGATTCCTGGAAGAATGAGCCCCCAGGTCGCAAGTCCGACTCCCCTCATGTCAGCACATCTACTCAGTCCCCTCGAATACGACGTACACCGAGCGCTCCAATACTATCGACGAATTACCTTGCTTCCAGTTTCGCTGCTACCTTCGCCGGCCCTGATTGGGCATCCACTTCAGCGGCCGGGCAACCCGGTCCCCCGCCTGTCCGTCGGCGTGCTTCCTACTCAGTGACGTCTCATTCCGCTATCTCGCGAGTGCCGCAGGACTCGGTGTCAGATGCGGAATCCATATTCTCTGATTCGACTACCTCCGATTCTGAATGTTACGGCGAATTGGATTACGGAAAGGAGGTAAAACGCTTGATAGTTCGAGATCAAGGTCCTGTGGAAGCTGTCCGTTCGCCGGTATCGAACGAAGGTGGCAGACCTAAAGTCGAAGGCGGCAAGGGCATACCATCCATCTGGCGTCGGTTCCATGGCAAGAGTAGCGGCTTGCAGCTTGTTACTCCGGCCAGGAAAATGAAAAGGATGCATCTGACAACGGTATGACGTCCGCAGTTGTCCATTGCATGCTAGACTGGTTATCTTAAATAGATGACCGATCAACAAGAGCCCGAACAGCCGTCGCGGAAATCACCCGAGCGACGCCAAGAGTTCTGGACGATGCCACCGGTGAGTAGTCTTTCACATCCCGGCATGGAAGATGATTTGGTTCAATGGACGTCAGCATTCGTATGCTAACAACCATGTCCGTTGCTACGAGACCTTACTGACGCGTTCTATTTTTTCTCCCTACGTGGGATATCTAGTGGGAGATGACATTCGAGGGCGCTGATGTTGACATTGCACGCTTCGAACCCATCATCTCAGCGAACATGCCTCCTCCCGACTTGGCAGAAGAGCTGATCTCTCTGTATTTCCAGCACTCGAACAGCCAGTTTCCCCTCCTTCATCGACCAACGTTTGAGCGACTATGGTCTTCCGGCTATCATCAGCATGATGCGTGGTTTGCGTGTCTTTGCTTTACACTGTTCGCGGTCGCCAGTCGATGGTCCGATGACGATCGAGTGTTGTGCGAAGTGAATTCTGTCACTTCTGGACTTTCTCAACCTCCTTCAGAGGAGGAGCTTCCAAATCTCAGATGGCGTACGGCTGGGTGGAAATATTACAATGTGGCCATAGGTAGGAGTGTTCACGATCATGTTAACCGGCGGACTGCTCACCATCCCGTGGGCAGAAATATGTATGGTAAAGCGGAGTGTCCTCAAGCCAGCGACGCTATTCGAGATCCAGACTTTTAGTGTGAGTTTGGCGGACCCTTAGAAATATGTTCTCTGTCCTTGTGCTCACTTGTTTACCGAGCGCAGCTCCAAGCCATGTTCCTCCGGGGAAACGACCACTACCCATCATCATGGTTTCTCATCGAGATTGGTGTTCGGAAGGCCCAAGATAAGGGGATTCATCGCAAAAAGGCTTACGCCAAGGTTCCGCCTGCCGAAGGTGAGCTGTGGAAGCGAGCGTGGTGGCTGCTAGTGGCCTTCGACAGAGTCACGAGCACAGCACTAGGGAGGCCCTGCTGCTCAAGAGATGAGGAGTAAGTTCCTAGATGGACAGTTTTTACGTTCGTCAATCCTGAGGCCACAAACGTTTATCTTAGTTTTGACGTTGATCTACCGTCGGAAGTTGACGACGAATACTGGGAGCATCCAGACCCCAACCTCGCATTTAAGCAGCCTGCAGGGAAACCGTCCCTTGTCACTGCTTTCAACTCGTGGGTCCGATTAACCCAACTCACTTCCTTCGCTGCCCGTACCTTGGTATGAAATATCCCTTCGTGTAGTTTCCGGATACTAATGCATTACACAGTACTCTAGTGATAAGCAGCAAGGTGTCTTGCGCCGACTCGGTCCCAACTGGCGTTCACGCGCGATTGAGAAGATGAATGCCGCTCTGGCACAGTGGTATGAGACGATACCTGCTCACCGTAAGATACTTATACGGATGATGATATTGGTACTGACCACACCTCTTTGTCCTAAGCAGTACGGTGGTCACCGACAATGGAAAATCCGATCTTCGCAAACCAGGCCGTCACGCTATACACCACGTATCATCTGGCCAGAATCATGATCTATCGTCCTTTCATCAAAGCTCCTGATGCGCCCACCGGTACACAAGGTCGCGAGGATCCACGAGGGTTGGAGAACCCCGCGCTTGCTGTCTGTACTGAGGCGGCTAGGGCGTGTGCCCGGATCATAGGCGTGCAACTCCAACGTGGTTTCTCCAACTTATCGAACCTCATCAGTGTTTCCCATATCTGTGCCGCCTTGCTCCTTATGAATGTCTGGGATATCAAGGCGAGGCAGGACCGAGCGGCCAGTGAGGCCCATACGAAGGCTCCGGATATCATGTCTAATCCAGAGGTCCGGGGACTCCTTTCGGACGTGGCCATCTTTCTCAGGGCTCTAGAGTTCGCGTCGACCAAATGGACCATGGCTTATACGTTTCTGTGAGTGAAGCACGACTACTCTCGGTCCACGCCGATCTCTGAAGGTATGATATAGGACCCAGCTGAAGTCATCTCTGCCTGCTGGCTTCGATTACCATGGGCAAGTAGAGCTTCCAGCGACTGCGTCAAGTTCACGGGTGGGACGCCCAAGGATGTTTGACCGATCTTTGTCACTGACCTGGAGCCAGAGTGCATCTGGCGATCGGCGGTCGAATAGCAGACGTAATCCTGAGAGAGTGGCCTGGCCTGGACCGCCGGAAGGATCCTGGCCGATGTCTCCACGAGCTGGCCCGTCTACGTCTCCTCACTCGCCCCTTTATTTGGGGATGGATCGCCCTAGAATACCCAAGCCGGAGCCATCGAACGAGGAAGAAGATTTGCGGGCATTAAGAGCGGCGTCGACATCGAACTACTCCGTACATCACCAAATGCCGCTGCAAGCCTTTTCGCCGCAGGGTACCACACATCAAGAGCAACGGGTGCCCTTTATCAGTCAATCTCGTAGAGCACCCAGTGCTGCCGCTGTCGGTCCTCATATCCAGACCTGGCAGGGCGGACCGGCTCAGAATCTGACCAGCTATGATCATCCTTATGCCCTCACGGAAGGACAGTATCCGCCGACACAGCCCTTCACTGTGTCGGCGGTGAGGCGTACGGATGAAGAGGGAATGGAAGATAGGCTAGGCCAGTTCATGAGTGGCGGGTACAGGTTCGTTAACAGCTTACTTTGGTACAGTGGAGTAACGATTGACTGTGGTGGTCTCTCCCGGCAGATGGGATGAGTCTGGAATGGATCCACGTCCTTCGCAATCACATCCCAGAGGAGGGCGGAGCCATTGGTCTAGATGACACCGTGACTAAGGACATGTATCATTGCTGCCCCGTGAGCTTTCGGTCATCCGTTGTCGTATAGAACGATAAAGTCTTACCATTAATCCGTCCATTTTCAAGGAGTGGGATCTTCCTCACGAAGTCTCCGCATTATCAAAAAATCTCAGCTGGCTGCGACCTCGGCAACTGTTTCCGCAAACACAATCTATCTGTATCATAAATACTGCTGTAGCTATAGGTAATATCTCTCGCGCCTAGTGCCCCATTCCTCAACCAATCGTATTATTTACTATTTATTCCCAGTATCGCGCTTGACTCGAGCTCTGATATATCGTTATTCTCCTCACTCACTTTCCGTTTCGGAGGCATTTCTAGAACCCCTTTTGCTTATGCATTGCGTTGGTCTTCGTCGCTTGGTCTTTGTCCAGAGCTCTACACCATCAAACTGGGGCTCATGCCCTCTATTCGGCACGAAGACTAAGTTCAATTCATTATCGTTCCGCTGCATTGAAGTACGGATGCATGACCTAACGCCAATCCGGTGAGGGGTTACACTAATCCTTAGGTTCCCATGGGATGTTACCTTGCCAGTTTAACGAAGCACTGCACCTAGATGCTTCTCACCATGACGATGACTAACAACCCAGAGCACTATTGATAGTTTCAGGCCTTCCCAGCGGCTCTCCGATTCTTTAGCTCGAGAAGCACTTACCCCATGACTTTCAAGGGCATACGTAGTACTGAGTCACTTGCGTCCGCTAGGCTGACGACGTTTGCCAAAGGGACCCTAGATGATTTCAGAGCCTCTGACCAGCAAGGGTATACAGTTCTACTTTGAGGACAGTGGAGTACCCTCAGCGGAAACATACACCACCCTGGTCATCATTCATGGGACTAGCTACCACAGCTGTACGTGCAGACCCGCGCTGTTTATCGCATCGACTCGCATGTCTAACGTGGACTAGCAATATTCCACAAGCTGGTACCCCTGGGGGTAGAGCGCAAGCTCCGCATCGTTCTGTTGAACAGGCGGGACTACCCCGGCAGCACCTTCACCACGCCCGAGGAGATCGCCAAGATCCAGAGTGCCCGCGATGAGGATCAAGCACAGATCCTGCGAGAGCTGGGGCTCGAGCTCGCAGCCTTCCTCGCCTGGTATATCCGCCAAGCCAGTATTCCGCCCCTAGGTGAAGAGGGTGCTCCAGGCGGGCTGACGGTATTGGGCTGGTCTTCTGCCAACGCCACTGGCCTTTCGGCAATAGCGAACCTCGACCTTGCGCCTGACGAAGACAAGGAGCTCTTCCGCACCTATCTGCGGGCGTACATCAGCTACGGTCAGTAAGAACATCACCGCCAGCTGGTCGTGATTCTCACCGTATGGTATGTCACGCACAGATGCACCGATGTATGTCTACGGTTATCCCGTCCTCACTGATGTCTACCACCCGCTGCGGGATCCGTCGATCGAGGACTTCCAAGAACGCATCAAGCGGTTCAATGTCTGGGTTAGCTCGTACTACCAGCACCCCGACCTCACGTCGCGCAGCTTTCAGGGCCTCTCCCAGCGTCCCCCGGAGGACCCGCCATCTGACAAGCGGCCGACGTTCTATCGATTCACACCGAGCGAGCTAGAGGCGGTCACATTCCCCGACGCGCTCACGCGCGGTGAAGGCGGGCTGCGATTCATGAGCCCGGCAGTGTACAAAGAGAACGCGCGCAAGATATGGTACGACGAGGGGCTTGCGAGTATGTTCCCTCGGTTGAAGGTGAAGCTCATTTACTGCAAGGAGAGCATGGTTGAGATGGTATGGGCTGCGTGGAAGATGGAAGATGATGTGCGTGGGTATGTTGAGAAGGGAGGGAAAGGTCGAGGGCTGGAGGTACAAGCGATGGACGGTAACCATTTCGTGAGTACCTTCGAACTGTCTACGGATACTGTATCTGATGGCGGGTGCAAATGTGTTTAGGCACACTGGGACCGCCCGGCGGAGACAATGGAGTTCTTCGCGATGCTGCTGTAGTTCAGATCTGCTACGTACCCCGCATTTGCGGGGTACATAGTAACAAACGGTTCATCATTCCCACAGACGCCGACATTATCAGAGTTATGTCGAGAAGAGCTTCATCTAACATTCAGTAGTCCAAATTACAGTATCCTTATCCGATGATCTGTAGGCGCACGTAGAAGAGAAGAAGGCTGGCATAAGGGTGCATAGGTTCTCCGCAGTCCAAGGGTATCTTCCATCCTTGATACAAAATTCCATAGTAATACAATTGGCTCCGGGGTATCCATAGCTACAGGATGATGGAAGAACATGACCAACGAGCAGTACTTGAGTGCATCAGGTGGACTAACCAAGTCGGAACATTAAGCCCTATCGGCCATGGCTCTTCGCCTCCTATAGACCTCCTCCTCGGCATGATCCCATATGCCTGAGCCACCCCTCGTAGCACTCTCCCACTGCCGCACGGTTGATAGTGGCGCTTTCTCAGCCACTAACCTTACATCCCCTTCCGTAGACATCGCGATCCTATTCAGCTCCTTCACCTCATCCTCATGCGCGGCGTTTCCGAAACCGGCAATCTGGATAAGCAGCAGTTGCAAGCCCAGGGTATCAAGAAGGCCCCGCATGTCGGACACGACGGCTGCGGCGCCGGTCGTTCCCCGCCTGTAAACGATCGCGAGGTGCGATAATGATTGCAGCTGCCTGAGTCGATTGAATTGCTCAGGGTCGAGGTGGTTTCCTGTAATGTGAATGCGCAAGTGGGTCACGGAGGCGCCGATAAGAGCGGGATCCCATCCGTCACGGCATGACAGGCCAAGGAGATGCTGCTCGCGGGGTTCAATGGACTTGACGGTATTTGCGCCGCCGATGCGGGCGTACCAGGGAAGGGGAAAGCCACAGGCGAGACTGTTAACGCCGGAGCAGGCGGAGATCACTTTGTCAATGTACTGTATTGGGCCCATGGCGAAGATGCCAAGGTGCTTGACCTGTGTCTCCACGAACCGGGTGGACTTGCGTGAGATAGCTGTCATGAAGCTCTCGAGAGCGTGGTTGGTTTCGAGGACAACGGTGTGGTAGATGATTGGGTCGGCCCATTGGCGTACCCAGCTGGAGACGAGCGTCAAGGACAGGGCCGTACTACGATCGTGCTGAGCCGCGAGCTCGAAAATGTCACGCAGGACTTCGGCCGGGAAGTCGAACGGTCGTTTCGCCATCAGTTCTTCAGTCATTGTCCCAATCCTGCGTAAAGATCGGCGACCGGTCAGGGCAGGACGCACGGAAAATCGTAGACTTTCACTTACCGATAATGTATGCAGAGCGTGTATTCGAGTCGAATGTGCAATATAACCACAGGATCGCTCCACATGCGTTTTATACGGAAAACAAAGCGATGTTCCCGGAGTGGAGACCTCATTTTGGGGTTGTTACGATTGATGTCATGACGCCTGCCTGGCGGCACATTGCATGCCGCAAGATAACGAGTGCCAGGGAGGTGGAAGGCATCATGACCGCAAGCTCCGTGGTGGAAGGATAGAACAGAGCGCGTCTTATGGCAGCGCTAGACAGTGCAGGACATAACTGTATTGATCAGACCGCTGGGTCATATTCTGGGAACGCTCGCCGCTGCAGCTGACGGTCTAGAGCCGTGCCTGTCTTTCCTTTCCGACTCCGACGTTATGATATCCAACTCCGCGCATGTGCAGGGAACCCGTGTCTATGTCCGTGTATTAGCCACCGTATGTAAGTTCGACTTTCTTAGCACCCATAGAGTCATAGGCGCGGCCAGAGGCTTATCTGCGGCCATGGCACGCTCTGCAAACAAACGGGATCCCGACTGGGAACACTCGGACAGTGATCCCTCCGACAATGAACCACCCTCTCAGGATCCTTCAGATGATGATTGGGGCCCTTCCTCTGTGAGAACTGCCCGCACACTGTCAGAGCGCACCTTCTTATCCTGTACATCAGTCCAAGAAACCGCCTGCTAAACGACAGAAACGCGCATCGGAACAAGGGAGCGCGAAAGGGAAGCAGCCTAATCTGAGAGCCCGTATTACAATCCTTGCCACGGATGCTGCCCCTACAACGGGGGATGTGAACGAGCGTTGTACGTCAAACTCAAACTCTAGACGTTTGACCATCTGAGCGATTGCCGTAGCACAGGACGTGGACGATGCTGTCCTGGAAAGGATCAAGAAGGCGTTGGCCCTTGCTAATCACGAAAACACAGGAGAGCAGGAGGCGAAACAGGCCATGAGGTTGGAACATCGCGCATATATGCACACGGAAAATGTGTTCCGACTTACGAGAAACGTTACAGGATGGCCTCCAAGCTTATGTCCCAGTATAGCGTGACCCAGGCTGATCTCCTTACGAAGGAGGATGATCAACAGAAATTGAAGCGGTATGCATCTTCCTATGACTGAGTAGTCCTATCTTTTCATCATTTAACAGCGCTGGCATGTCGTGAGTTCCACCGATAATAACGAGTTTACTGGCCCTAGACTACCCTCATACGCTCCAGGGTAGTTGTTATTGAACATGTCAAGCATGCAAGTGTGCGCTGGGAGACGTGGGCAGACGACACTGCGTACGCGATGACCGTCTTCTTCGACTGCCAAAGTTATAGTGAGACATTTGGTAGGTACGGGAATGTACGCGTCTGCTTTTACGGTGAGTGAGACTCTGCGAGACTGTCAAGGCAAAGCTATATGTACTTTATTGTTAGGTTTGGCGGAGCAGACTGTGGCCGCAGCATACGCATTTGAAATGGTTTGTCGTAGCGTCCGAGCTGGAGATATGCCTGCCTCTCACACTTGGATTATCAGGCATACAATCTAATTTCAAGGTGGGCCCTAGATAACAACCTCGCCAAGGGCATCCGCGGCAAAAAGTAGGTATTCCATTTCTCGGTGAAAACTCCAGTCTTCGACGTTCGCTTCATCCAGTCTGTACAAAAGAGGCGTTGCTCACGGCCTGTGCACCCTCGCCAACAAAGACAAACAGACTGAAGTACAAAAAGCCATTGAAGCCGAAAAACATCGCCTTGTGGAGGTCCACAAGATCGAGGCCGACGAGGACCGGCAACGCTTGAATCGGCTCAGAAACCTGGAATCCGTCAAACCGGAGGAACAAGACAGAAAAGTGAAAGTTGAGGACGTAGAAGACGAGGAACTCAAGCGCGAGCGTTCAGAAGATCTACACCCTTACGGACGCCATAAAGACGAAGACCCAGAGGAGATGCCTATGCCGGCAGTGAATGGCGGTTATCCAGCTTATGCACCTGAAGACGATGACTCCGGTGACGATGTCGGCGGTCTGGGTCCTCTGGGCGACGACGACTACAGGGCGGATTTCGACGCATCCGACGAGATCCAGCTGGACCTCGACTCCCTCGAATCAAAAGTCGAAGCGCGCCGATCCGTAAAACCCGAACCAAAACTTGAACCGAAACCCGAACAGCCTGAAGCAGGTCCTTCCTGGCAGTCAGAGGGCCAGCTCATCGCCTTCAGGGAAAACTCCAAAGCGATCGGGGACGAGTACCTCAAATCGCAGGGCGTGAAGCTCCGCACCTCGAATAAGCGACCCGACGTCAGTTTCAGCAGTCGCGAAGACAGAAAGCTATACGAGCAAGGCAAGCGGGACGCCGCGAAGATCGATGTGCGCAGGCGGCGCCTCAAGGGAGCTGAAGATGACCGTGACTGAAGTCGAGTCGTGGGCAGACAGCACTGCACGATGACTTTTCATATGTAGAACCACCTCTATCCTACACTCATTATATCTAGACGCTACAGTATGTAATGCTATTCCACACGGAGGATGTTGAAATAAACAAGCTGGACACGGACGGGGTCTTTTCACGGGAGAATGCGAAAGTAGCACAAAATAATGATAAAGCCGCTCGAACTCGTCCCTCGAATGCGGGACGCAGCAAGGCTGCCCATACGACAGTACAAGGCAATCTATTGCCCGGACGGACCGCCTGCATCAGTTAAAGGAGCCACTACAGGAGGACTTGCCACCGAACTTCCCCCAGATGATGTAGACTGTGCGGTGGTCCCCCTGGCCATCAACGTGTTCAGTAGGATCGCCAGCCCGCTCATTTGGGCCGGTTGTAGGAGCCCTACGTTCACGTCCAGATACACCATTCCGCCACTGAAGTGCTTTAGTATAGCTGCTGGCGGAGATTCGGCGGGCTTCACGGATGACACAGGGACGGGAATAATGCCGATCCTTTGCAGTTCTGGAAGCGAAGAGACAGGCAGCTGCACAGGGACGGGTCCTGATGGTACGGGGTTCTGGCTTGATGAATCTGTAGACTGAGTCGGGGCTGGCGTTGGCGCTGGCAGGGGTGCTGGGGTAGGAGCTGGACTGTAGACCGGGGTACCTGGCGGGGGTGCCCCGTATTGCTGCGTGTAGGATTGCGTAGGTGTATAAGTCGGCGTATAAGAATAGGGATATGGTCGATAATGATGGACGTAGGATGAACCAGCGGGCTGAGGATAGTAGGATGGGCGAGGAGGTGCGGACTGCAGTCGCTTTTCGCGCTCGATTTTCTCTAGCTCTGAGCGTGCGCTCCGGAGTTCTGCGTTCAGTTGTATGTTCTCATTCCGTTCGCTTTCCAGCATGGCCTGAGCAAGGATGTATGCTTGATCATCCGGAGCTTTACGCTGAAGAGCACTGAGCTACACTGCAAGGGGCGAAAGAAAGGGCAATGGACAAACCTTGCCAGCTTTTATCCTGGCTCGTCTGAAGCGTTCCTCCAAGGCTTTTTGTCGCTTGAAACACTGGATAGCGAATCTGGTCTCTGAACATCCAATCAGCGGAAGGCTTTACAGCAAATCGACTAGCGAACCTGCAATCTCCTCTCTTAGTGCACTCACTTCCGTAGCTTTGCTTTTGCCCTTGCTCCACCTGGCGGCCTTCATCACGTACTGCAAATCCTCCTGCGGCTGCTGATACACGTGATATGGTAGCAACCTCTTGACCACATCATCACCGTCCACGAATGGATTGTCGACATCAGGAAACAAAGTAACAAGGTGATCTCCAGCAAGAGACGAGGTAATTCTGCAGTCGTGAGGAAGGACTTGTGGCAACGAAATGAGCGTATGCTTACTTTGCCGATGTCTCCTGCACGATCTTGTTTTCCTCCTCAGTGAGATGGGGTCGCAGTCTTGAAGAGTTGGAATCATTATTTGCTACCGCGGCAGGCGTATGCTCCGCGTGGTTAACTTGCTGAGGCCATGTAGTACTCGATGCAGAGCTTGATGAAGTCGACGAGGTCAACGGCAGGGCGCTGGGGGACACGGGTTTGCCGACAGAAAATGTCGGGCCATATGCGCCGGTCTTGAAAGACTTGAACTGGTGCGCATTAGCAGTATTGTATGCAAACGGCGAGCCAGACGATTCTGCCATGCCTCTGCTTTGTTGTGCTTTGCGTGGGTTGTGGCCCTCGTGACCGCGTGAACCCACAACTGTCTCGACTTCAGGGTAGGCCGATTTTCACTTGCACAAAAGATCCAAGACTAGCATCGACTTATCACAGAAAATTGATAGATGCTTCCTAGATATCATACAGGTACTATATGTTCGGTGTCAGCGAATTGACCTGTCTGACCTCGCCTGTATCATAGTTTTGACTTTCTTCAGCCACTCCGTGGCCTGCGCAACTTCTTCCGCATGACTGTTTGCCAACATCTCCAGGTACTCCTTCGCAAGCTCCAGGTCACCTCCCCCCAGGTACATGTGATACCGCGCTACAAACATGTACGACTTAGAAAACTCTTCCACGCTTTTGTCTGAAGCAAGGAGTCGGTCAGGTACCCGTGTTCCGCACAGATGTGAAGAATCCTACCGTTTTGTCTCGACGCTTCCACAATCCTGCGGTGATATGCTGCAGCTTCGCCATATTCTTCCAGCTCATTGTAGCATTTGGCAATCTTCTCATACATGCCCATCATATTAGGATGTTCTCCGCGCGTCGCATGCTTGAAACAATCGATGGCCTCCCTTGGTCTACCACAGGCTATTAAAGGGTAAATTAAGTACGGGGCACAATGACGAACCTGCCTAAGTCCATGTAGCATAGGCCCTGAGCTTGCCATACCCGTACATCGTAGGGGCTTGGTGGACATCAGTGTGATCATAAACACAAAAAGAGAAGCCTTTCACCTCAGTGCCGCTGAGCGCTGGTAGTAATACAAAGCATATGTATGCATGTTTAAGAGCTCATATGCCTGACCCAGGCCGAACCAAGCTTTATGATCTTTACGGTCGAAATCTATGTTCCTCTGATCAGTACTCAGGGTGATCGAAACATCTCATGTCCAGCACTCACCGACAGCTCTGCGGTAAGCATCTATAGCCGCATGAGAATTTTTCAGTTCGATATACTCGTGGCCTAGCAGAGTCCAAGCAGACACATATGTCGAATCGAGCTGAGTAGCCCGCAGAAAGTATTCCGCCGCCCGAACGTTTTCACCGCGGAGAGAATAATGGTTACCTTGAACCCCAAGAGTGAGACTGGGTTAGGGGAGATACCCTTGTTGCACGTACCAATTAAACAGCATATTTCGGGCCGATCCTTCTCTTGATCAAGGTAATCGAAAGCGAGCTTGGACAGTTTAACGGTGTCGTGCATTACGAAGAGAATGTTCGCATAGATATCTACGCCATCAATACGGTGAGGATCCGCTGCGATGATTTTCTCGAACTGTGCTGCAGCCGGAGGATACGCTATCATACTATCAGTGTACCGAACACAACCAGGCTAGGAGCGGGGTGGCGTACTATGCAAATTATACAAGACCAGGGCACGTTGAATCATGAGCCATGTCCATTTGGGGAAGAAGTTTTCGCCGAGAAGGCGATCACAGAGCCCGAGTTCGTTGTCTGAGACTGATTCGAGTTGGTTCGACATCTTCACTTGGAAGATATGGACCAAAGGATGGGTAGGCGGTAGTGGCAACATCGTGAGGAGAGACTGAAGCTACGTACTCATGAGCCATGAATAACCACGGACAGAAAGATCCCGAGAATCTACCTCTTCTCCATCACTTATACACTGACCAAGTAGAGTCCATGCAGACCAGTTCCAAGGATAGCGGGATAAAGACAACAGAAGACTTTCGATAGTCTCCTCACGTCTGCGCATGCGCGACAAGAACAGCGCCTTCCTGGCGTCGGCCGATGAGCATCTCGACGAGAAGAAGCGGCCGGGCCTCTCACAAGAACAGGAGCCATGGATCCTCAGCATTTTGAACGGCAAGGAATAAATCTCTCAAGGATGTGTTGATCGGATGCGGTTGTTGGTCTCGCTTCTCTGTACGAAAGGGTTAGAGAAGCCACATGAACTTACAAGTCACATACTATCAGAACCGTTCCAATCCCGTGCTGCTTTCTTCTCGCTGAACTGGGCCACGGGGTATCTATTTAGCAATGACGTCTGCAGAAATAATCGACATACCAGAAAGCGACTATACAAGGACAGAAACCGTGCTTTGGAACTTCGACACCTGTCTAGAATAGCCACGGCTCTCAGAAACTCGCGTGCATCAAAGAGCGATTGAGCAGCGATCAGCGCATCTTCTTCCTCCTCCTCCCAGGCCCGCTCTTGCGCGACTATCTCTTCCGGTAGGGGTTGATATGTGGGTGCATCGGGGTGATGGAGCAGCTCTGTAGCCAAAGCGGCATGCCGAGAAGGTCCTTCATTGTGAGCGGAGGGGCCAGGAGAATGGTGACTGAACGATAAAGATGCACGGGCACCACGAGAACGAGGAGGAGTGGACGTCTCAAACGTCTGATCTTGTAGTTGCCCAGATACGCGACGCTTAGCTTCAGGTACAGAGAGAAGCAGTTCCGAGACCCTACAATGCTTCTTCAGACACTGTTGACGGACATCTTGAGATATACAACATACCACTTGGTGGCCACAGTCAAACGTCTCGAAGAACAATCGCGTACCGCCGCCTTAAGGGCTGATATAGTTTCCCAGTCAACGCCATTCCCGCTCGACATCATCTGAAGCAGAATGCAAGATAAACTGGGAATTGCACTTCGTGATGACGACGGACGAAGGCACAGAATTGAGGTCAGTTGTGGCAGTTACAGACAGGTCGCGCCTGTGGCGCTAGGCGCGTGCGCGTTCGCAGGCAACAGAGCTCAGGTACTTCACTCAGCATTCTGCTTCCGTTACCTGGGGCATACTTCGAGTTCAGCCGAAGTCGGTTCCGTTCAAGTTTGATCCGTCGCATCTCACTGCAGTATTTTGAAGTGCAAGGATGGGCTACGCGTCACTGGTTGTGCTCGCTGTGGTATTGCTGCTCCTAGGGCGTCTGTACTATGTATCGTTGCCGAGGGAGGGATCACGTAGACGAAGCCAGTCGGAACCTTGCAGTCTAGCTGTTTTCCTGGGATCTGGTATGTGATGTTTTTTGTTCGAAGGCTGACCGTCCCTGTATGCCCTAGCACAGGTGGGCATACGAGCGAAGCCCTCATCATGGTGTCCGCTCTCGATTTCTCCCGCTATCGGCCTCGGACGTATATCATCAGTGAAGGGGATGCGCTGAGTGCGCGAAAGGCGCACGACATGGAACATTCAAAGTTAACGACTTCAGACACTCTCTCAGTGTGTGCTCATCCCAATGTACACCTCGGTATTTCAGTTCACGCCCGGTAGGGTAGCGCGTCCCTTCAGTACACGGTCCTGACTATTCCTCGTGCTCGACGGGTCCATCAAACTCTTCTCAGCACTCCACCAACTGCTTTGTATTCGCTACTCAGCTGCATATATTATGTGACAGTCCTCCCGCTTTTGACAAACAAAAGAAGTACATCCTTCGCTGAAGTGCTTCTTCTCAACGGACCGGGAACTTGTTTCACGCTGTGCCTCGCAGTTTACCTTAACAGGGTATGCTTTTCCTTGGTCACAACCACACTTATTCTGAAGCCTGTTTTCTTCCAGCTGCTCGGGCTCGCTTCCCCGAGGCTACTATACGTGGAATCCTTCGCTCGGGTTCAATCATTGTCGTTATCTGGCAAACTACTGAGCCCCTTGGTAGATCGGTCAGTCTGTGCCCGAGGTACTGTATAAGCGCTCGTTCTTACCACGTTCAGTGATGCAGCTTTGTGGTCCAATGGCCCGGACTGGTCAGAGAATGGCCGAAGGCACTATACCGTGGTTGGATGGTCTGAACAGGTTTCCCATATCTGCAAGTCTTGTCAACGTGACCCATATTTCGCATGCTCGGTTGAATATGACCTTGCCGGCGGATGCATGTATGTAGGCGCTGCCGTAATCGCTGCACACGTCGTTGGCTGCAACCAACGTGCCACGCCCTCTCATCACTTAGGGAGTATGGCTGGTTCCGGGTGATTATGCCAACCGGCGGGGCTACTTAGTACATGCCATGAGTCAACGACAATGATGAAAGGTGTCACATCATTCGATACGGAAGGCATGCTCCGTAAAGGTGACGAGTCAATCAAGCGCAAATCGAGCTAGCATTGACCTGATTGATATGTCCCAACGATAGGGAACGAAATTAATACACCACGGAATGATACAATGGCCAACGCACGCGGATAACGGCACTGAGCAATGCAAGGACTCTACTTCCTCGTCCATCGGTCCTCACCTTCACCACCTTTCCGCGTCCACCGATCCTCTCCCGTTCCCTTGCGGGTCCACCTATCCTCACCGTCTCGTCCACCTCTCCTTGGACTCGCGCTGCGACCACTTCGCTTCGGAGGCTCCCATCCGCCAGCACCGCCATCAGTCTTCGGTGGATGCAATTTGCGCTCCAATTCTTGCCCGTGTCGTAACTGGCGTGCTAACTCCTTCGAGGGTAACCGTAAATGCATGAAATTGCAGAAACCTCCGCGGTTGCACTCTCCATTCTCATTTTGTCGACAGCAGGCTTCTCTGAAGTCTGTGACCGGAGATAATTCAGCATATAAGGGACGGCCTGGAAACACATTTTGTTTGTTTGTTTTGGTCAATGATGACAACGAGGATTGAGGAGTCACGCACCAGCATACCACCGATTGTTCAAATTATCAACTGCAGCTTGTGCTTCCGTCTCCCATTCGTAGCGAGCATATACGTTGCCGATGAGATGATCACCGACATTATCACATACCTAGAAACCAGATTAATAACAAGCCCAGCATCAGTAGGAAACGGGGACTCACATGAAGCTCCAAAAGATGCCCAAACTTCGCCAGTTCGCAGTACAGGTCCTCATATACAGCATCGAATCCCTCCTGCAGCTCCTGCTCCGTCAGCTTGCACACTGGGTCGTGAGCGGGGTTGTGGTAAACATTGGGCAGGAGTATAGTTTGGGAGAAAGAAGGCTTGATATGTTTTCGGGAACAGCGATCCCCGTGTCTACAAGCACCGATCTGTTAAGATGGCAGAGCCCAGGTTAGCCAAACGACGGCCTTCGAGTAAAAGTGGTGAACCACTTACTTTATAGTAGAAGGAACAGTTCACTCGGTCCTGTTCAGTTCCAAAGATGTTTGCCTGTGCGCAGGTCAGAGAGCACCGCCAGTAACGTAGCTGAAAGACGTACCAAATGTGAGGCCATATTGAGCGTCGACGATAGACCTGGTTAACAACAAAGAGTTGTGAATACAGACGCGCTGCTGTTTTCTTGGGCGACATCCAATTGCTGACTCAGCATAACCACATTTCCCACGTGCATGGGTATTGTTTGTACCAGCTGTACACATGGCCAGTGCCACATTAACCTTCAAGTACTTCCACCTTTGATTTCGACATGTAGGTGTATCAAAACACTCGTAACAGATTTCCAAAATATGCGGTGCTGACTTGACTTCTATTCGCATGCTCAGGGTCACCGTGCTGTGTCCGCATTCGTAGCTTATTGGCAGCTCAAAGCAAGCTTTCCATTTCCACTCTATCGTAATATCGTCAATACACTCTGAATACCGATGACGGCGGACGGAAACAGACGGGTCACCCATTTCTGACACGATTTATTCAAGCCGTTACTTCAAAGATCCTCTAGTTATCTCATGGTGTCCGATGGACAATCGACAAGAGACCCACTTGCCCGGTCTGTGCTAATTCCGCTGTCATGAACTTGGGTTTGGGGAGCAAACACGACTCAAATTTGTCGACCAGAAGGTACAAGGATTGCTCTTTTGCGAGAACACCTCATGTCCAATGGTTACTTCATTAATATCCGGGTTCTTAGGCGTTTGCCGCTCGCATCGCCCTTGTCCAGGTTTACTGTACTCCGAACCCTCTCTTCTTCGTAGAATAACAAAGTATAGCTACCACGGTCGCTGAGTGGAGCTACAACGTCTGACTCTATGGCTATCCAGGGCCGAGCCATGTTCTGGGGTGAACAAAGCCTCCTCCTGTCGGCCTTGTTTCCCGATGTAGCCGCCACTTATTTTGAGCAGTGGCTCGTCGCAAGGTTTCGGACCACCTACGGCATGGGTACGTGCAAGCTGAGATTTGAAGTACTCAGAGAGGAAAGTTACTAGCAGGTCTTCTCGTCAACTCCTCTTCCTTCTCTAAATGGTACGGTTTTCATGCATTGCCGGAACATGACGGATTCTCTCACTTCCGCCTTACCTAGCGCCACTTACGCAACGATGCCAGTTGACGGGATACAGCATTAGCTGGAGATGTATTGCCGCTGTCAACCATGGCGGCCCTCGAGGCCGGTCTGTTCTCAACTCTCCGCATGATTTGGGGCGCCAGAGGCGCTTTTATTGCCCAGTATTCAATATCTTTAGGCTAAAAATGTGGTCAGCGTATGGCAAGAAGGTTGCACTGCTTCCCTTTTGAGCAACTGCTCAGTACTCAAACTAGACTGGAGATTTACGAATACTGGACCTGCTGTTATTTGCACCGAAACTTCCGTGCTATAATGGCAGATACTCTCATCGAGCGTACTTCATTCTGGATCCCAGTCATTACTGCTATTGGACGGCTCCCTGGCACTGGGCGCAGTCCGGCTTACGCTACCCACAACCTTGCGAATCTGCGGACATACTTGTCACTCACTGTTTTGCGCCTGCTCTGAAAGCATTGCCTTATCCGAGTCTGCTGTCATGGCGTGCTGCGCCGTAGTTTACTTCTTGGTCATATGCACGTAGCCAGTGAAATATTGCCTAACAAGATGAAATTTGCGCAGGTAGACTCGGAGAAGCTCTCGTTAGCTTCGATATTTGCTGATGCTCCGCCCTCTTCTGCATCAAGCAAGTGTTGCGCTTGGTCGCACTATATGGCCCAGGATAGTCAGCGCTTGGACGTTGAAACGTTGAACCATTGGTTGGTGGTGTCGCAGTACGTAGCATCGCGATAAGAGGCGTCTAGTCTTATGTCTACAGGAGATCTTTCTGTCTAGGATTACATCGGGTCATCTACAGTCTAGCCAAGCTACAAGTAAACAATGATACAAGTGCCCAAGATTCAGCTACAAAAGGCAATGTCCTCGAAAACGTAGGAATAACAAATTGTCAGAGAATCATGGCTTCATCGAGGAGGGTTCCACAAGGCAAACGGTCCGTCCCACGACGGTACCGGCTGCGTCACGAAGGTAGAGCTATTCGAGGCCGATGTCATATTCAGGTTTGCTGTCGACCCGTAAGGTAAGTGTTGTGGTTGCAAGCCCATCAGGGCTCGAGTTGGTGGAAATGAGGTAGTATGGTATGAATCTGCCAAGGGGGGAGACATATTGCCCAGGGTAGTTCTGTAGATAACGTCAGTCAGGAACCTGGTAATGTGATTTAGTTGTATGACGCACGCTACGTATGCATCCAGCTCTGCTACAAGTCGATACAACAAACAATCTGAGGTCGAGCCGTGCCTCGCGGAACGACCAAGCAGATTGGCGGCTTTCCGCAGGCGGAGCGTGAGTTCAAGAGCGATGCTGTAGCTGACAGGTTCCATCATGCACCCGCAGTGCCCGACGGGGTTGTTACGGCCTCGCTGAAGCTGTGGACCCAGCTCGGACTGTTGATTTTCCTTATATACGTCCGGTGTAAGCATAGAATCAAGCAGGTCACCGAACAACTGTTCATCCATGCCAGCGGAAGGTAGATAATTGTCGGATATCATGGAAGTGGAGGGTATTCCTGTGGCCTGGGTATGATCGCTAGGTAGTGCGATGGTAACCTGAGGCTGCTGATTCTCTTCTCTTGGTGTAGTCACCACTGGTGATTCTACATCGATAGCTGACGGCGTGTCGAAGGACGAAAGGAACACCGGTGAAGAACAGTTGCTCTCGGTGTACCCGAGTGCGTGAGACGCCGCTTGGTGAGGAGAGTTAGAACCGGGCGCAGCACGAAGGACGACGCTCCCATCTTCTCCTAGACAGCAGGATTCTTGGTTGTCCGACCAGGGCTCCACGCAACCGCAAGCTGAAGGAGAGGTTGATTGAGTGTCGTCTGGGTCTCTTTCTTTTTCTCTGAGGTCAGTGGAGCGTGCCCGCGCATGCCACTTCTCAGGTCCTTCCCCAGGATGCGCCCATCGAGGGTGAGGCTTATTTTTCAGCTGCAGGTCCGATGATTAGTACTAACTGGAAAGACGAAAGGGATTATGTGCGCAGCACCTCTCTGATAACACCCTCTAATTCAGCGACCCGTTTCTGTAATCGAGATTTCTCGTCTTGATCATCATGTCTGTAGAAAGAAAAGTGCTCAGGAAATGATGAATTACAGGGTTACACTGCTGACTTTTGGTTCGGATCGTCGACCTCATACACGCACAGGCCAGTCTGTCGATTGGGCGCACCGCTTAATAGGGACGTACTCCGCATAGCGTAACACCTACCAGACCTAATTGCGTACAGCGCCCACACGGCCGTTTCCTATCGCACTGTCGATGCATGGTAAGTAACTATTCGCTATTCAACAGGTGGAATAGAAGGGCACATACCATGCGTTTACTGGTGTGGCAATTTACGCAAGACTGTGTTGTCCTGTTCCTACGGCGTTTGCGATGGTCCTCTTCGGGTTTGCGAGCATTACCGTCAGGTGCCGGTCGCTTTTTGCGACTCGCAGGCTCAGCAACTGTAGGTGGTGGGGATGTTGCACCCTTGTCTTCAGACGAACAGGGGGACTGAGAGCTTGATTCGGTGAGCTCAGACATATGGCAGGTATGTAGGAGTAACAATAGTGCAAGGCGATATATATGGTCGGGATGGAGAGAACACTGGATCCCTGAAAAGCCAAGCCCAAAGCAGATCTTGATCGATGGTTAAAGACCATGTTCAGGGATGTCCGGCTGCGATATGCGAGACACCGACCGGAAACCCGAGATCAGAGGATACGCCTTGCCAGGGTCTCGTTCAGTAACTGTTATCGTGAGAGAATGAAGATAGCGTGCGCGATCTAACCATATCCCATTAGGGATCTTCTTTCATGCAACAAATGATTGAGAGCAGGGCTTTGAAGTTGGGAGCAGGTCCGGAATCAGATGCACACGCGGGTGGGTTTCCTGTTGGAATGATTACTCGTTTCGACTGAGTAAATCGCAAGGTGCTGTCACCGTGTACGGGTGTCCTCTGAAGCTAAGCCGACCATAGACAAATGTGAATGACGCAATTTATGAGCAACGAAACCTCGGATCGGCATCTGTGTATATTGAGACCTTGATTGTCCGCCGAATGGTCAATTCGCCGTCCTGAATTAAGGAGGTTGGTTCATATTATTGTGACGTTACCGAGAGGGTTTCGCTCTGAATCGATAGCGTCTGCATGCGCGATGTTTGGAAATCGGGTGTGTAGTCATTACGGCACACACGAAGATTCCAGAGGTATTGAGAAGATGAATTCCCAGAGATTGGTACTTGACCGCCGTGATGCCTGCTCGATGGACAAAGGTACCGGCTCGGCCATTTTACTGCTCCTTATAGGCTCCGCTTTCTGATTGCCAGCGCCGACTCGGTCGCGCAAGAAGTACGCTCAGAATGTCAATTGGTGTGGTACGTCGGGCGCTCATCCCGGGGCTTTGATTCAGTGTCGTGTTGGTGTCGTGGCAGGTGCTTTCTTCCGCCGCTCGCCGGCGGCAGTCCGCACCCAATGAAGTCTGCCAGTGTGGCCTGAGGTCGCGCGAGTGGACGCGGTGCCCTCGGGCTCCGCCGTCGTGAGCCTCTCCGGACCCGGTTCTTCCCGATGCAGTCGGACGTTCCGTACAGCAGTTATTTCTAAGTATGCTAATTTCTAAAGGAACTGGGACAGCGACTGGGAACCGCTGATGGCGCGGGCGGTACACCTCAATTTAATCAGTGCGTCACTGCAGTGTTCACTCATGCTCAGGCTTGCTTGAGTCTTCCTGCCCCCCCCCCCTCGGGGCAACTTAGGCATTATCAACTTGGAATGATCGGCGCTACTGTCCATCAGGCCTGACGCAGGAGGTCCACACAGTTTTCGCACGTCAAAGGTCGAGTTGCAAGTCTAAGATGATCGCAGGACCACTACTAATAATGCTAGGCCCATGATGCCAGTGAAATGTGTGGCATCGGTCACTGTCAGCACTTCTACATACAAACATATAGTCAATCTGCAGCTCGATGGTAGGAATACCCCTAACCTCATGCTCGAAGGTCTGAACTCATCAGACCAACTTAGTCACCGGCGCACGGGCTTGATAACACAACATACATTCTCGCGTTGACTGATTAAGTGCACGGTGACGCCTATGACAGGTCTGCGAAATATGACAGGCGGGACAATCGTACCAATCGGCGCCCATGATATCATTGTAGATACAGCATCAAAGCTCAGCGGCAGGGCTTTCTCAGATGTCTCGCAGACTAGTGCCTACTCCTCACACATTACTTACCACTTACAGTAACTCATTTGGAGCAAACGACGACGACATGGCCTTTGCAAATTGCAATGATGGTTGCCGCAGGACCGACGATGAACTTCTCCAGCCATCGCAATGAGACTACCTCCAAAGGCTGTAGTTAGGATGCAGCATTGACTTCTGTGTTTAAGGATCACCGCTGTTTATCACACCTTCGTGTTCGCAGGAATTTCACAGGTGCGGCACATCATGCGGGGAGAACTCAAGCTGATGCTCGTTTCTCCAGGAAAGTATCACGAAATTGCCACAAAATACTGCGTAATTATAGCACTTAGATGGACATAGGACCACCGCTTTATGACTCTCGAAATTTCGACCAGGAGAGTGGTCGATCATGCTCCGTCAAGCTCGCAGAGTTCTACAAGCACGGAGGTCTGTAATCTCGTCCATATCCGTATACGAGCACAGGTGATATATCGAAAGCCGTTTGTATCGGTATCGGATGTCGACCCCAGCCAGGCTAAGGGCCCGGGACACAACTTCTCATTTGATCACTGACAATAGTGTACACTCGAAGCAGCAGAGCAAGGAATTGACCACTAGAACTTCCAGCCGATCATTGATGTGGTTCTCGAGTACTTAATATAAATGGTACGTAAATGTAGGCCTAGTAGACACGTTCAACGTGGAATGCGGGAACTTACCCATACCCCGGTCTAATCGCACCTTCTTCCTGTAGAAGTAATTTAACGTCGGCATGTCCAGATGCACGACTCGAGTAGAATGAACGTGGAAAACCAGAGTGACGCACTTGCTAGTGCACTCTCAGAGTACTCTGAAGCCAGCGGATTAGGTGACCCGTACATGATGGCTTCGCAAGTAGGTAGCGGCCGTATATATGGATGGCGCAGACGTACGTTTCTGTCCCTGCAACTCCGTGGGTTTTCAGCCATTTGCAGATTGATGGGCCCACTTTTCAAAAATCATTTACAGTCGGACCACGTCGGACAAGCAATTGTAAGTCCCCGAGAGACGGAAACCAGACCATTTGGACTTCCCCACCTTCTTCCGACGTCCCTGGCACCCACTCCGACCCACTCCCACTATACGCGATTTTCTGAATTGGTGGTCTATCGATCTGCAAACGGCTGTTATGCCTCGTCATATCATAAAGGGCACTTGGGAGGGATGATAATAAGGTAATAATCGCTCGTGGTTCCCAGCGCTTTCTTAGTAGCGCTGATACGCTGGGCGTCCATGGCGTAACCGCTAGATTAGTATCAGACCTAACAATCCTTTTCGTAGGTAAAGACACCGGCTTCAGTGTAAGCACCCTCTTACTTGTCCCGGCCTCTCTCAGAACTAACAACCTAGATATATCACGGGGCGTCAAGTTTCTGGAGGAGAGCCCAATCCACTGGAGAATTTGTGAGAACCAAGGCCAAAAACCTGCATAGGGATGTTTATGGCGTTCACCACGGTGCAGTTTCGATGTTTCGTCACCTAATACGGGGCGCGGCGAAGGTTAGGGTCAGTCCTTCTGATGACTCAGTGACTCTCCGGCGGCAGCAATATCTCCCCGGATCACATTCAGGACTCAAATTATCACAAGCGTTCGCTGAAAGACATACAAGTGCAAGACTAATCTTTAGGGAACAGGCTGCAGTCGGCACCCTGATATCTCCTTTTGTACGCGTTGCCTGACGTGGGAGGAATGCTCTATCCTGTACCGTAAATCCTATACCGGTTTGTCAGTAAGCAGCGATTGTTTATTGCGCGGGCTATCGTCTGACCATATCATCGGTGAGCAATAGCAGAATTTTGTAATTCCCGGATTATGACCACACATTGACCACACAGCTACATTTGCTTCCATTGATGTGGGACCAGACCTGCGTGCATAATGAATAATTCTGCGGCAGGCACTCTTCGTCCAGTTCTGCCAGTGCGTCCGGCGCGGCAGTATCTACCTGGACGCTGGCTGAGGTCTCCGATAGGGCTGGCGATCGTTCAGTATGCATGATCTTCCTTCTATTGTCGGTCCTTCTGAAGGCCGCCATAAAAAAATTACCATTTGGGTCCTCCCCACGTCAGGACAATTCCAGGGCTTGACCCTGGTCGTCGATGTCTAAACGGCGTCCTCAACCTCACCAATTGTGCGTCGTCGTTGACTAAACATCTCATGGGGCTAACAATACGCTCACTCTCGCAGACTAAGCTGGGCAAAACGCTTCGGCCTATAGCAACACATCGTCCCCATCACATTGCATGAAGTGGCGCGAAACCTTTCTCTATGATTGAACCTGGGTTATATCCTTACACGGACTGGCGACACCGTGGCTCTAAAGCGAGGTCGAAACCGAATAAGCTCAGGGAGGGGCTGGACTTCCGAACGGATGTTCGTGAAGCCCGAGGGATATTCTTGTTTAAATTGAACACGTTATTAGCCTCGGTTGGTTCTACGTTACGAAGTACGTTGCAACGCAATCAGGACTGATTGATGCCTTCCAGTCTCTCAGGATGATCGTCGGAATTACTTGTGAGGCTTCCTGAAGCGCCTGGCCATGGATCGCTCACACTCGTTCCCCGGAGATAGATCCAGCATCAATAGCCCCGAGATAACTTTCAGGCATCGCATCACCCCTGGGTAGGCCTTGCTTAGGCTTGCTATTACTCCTTGCCCGAGACCTGTCTCGTAGTCATTCAATGTGGGAGGATCTGCTATGAAAATACGATTGGATACTATATAGCGCCTCTCGACCGGGTTATTCCAGATGCTGGAGTTCAATCATTCGAAGCCAGTACGGGTTATTCCTGGCGTATAGTGTTCCAGCACACACGCCAATACGCACTCCCTCCAGTCCGTCAGCGCCAGAACTACCACTTCCGGAGACGATCAAGGACGACGCAATCCGTACTGCTGGACTCGGAGTAGTAAGAAGTCGAAGATGAGGGCTGGTGCCGTCTCAGCATCAGAAACTTCGAAGAACATGATTAGGCCTGTCAAAGAACATTCATGCGTATCATATCTGTAGACTGTGTGAACCTAAAACTGACACACAGCGTCTCGAAACTCGTCATATCCAATCACCGTGCCAAACGAATTGTCTGTTGGGCTAACGGGACTGCGATAAGTGTTGGCAGTATTGTGAGCCTTAGTGCACTATCGTTAAAGTCTTGCAACCAACAATACAACGTGTTCAACAGCGTAGCGAGATCATTACATGTGGACATGAGTATTTCTCTTGATAATGCGGGAAGGAGAATGAGTAACTCGTATACCAGATTCTACGACGAACCAGCGGCTGCCAGGCCGCCCAGTAGAGTTAGCCACCAAGCACGATACAAGGCTGTCCAGCCTTCCTCATTCACAATGCTTCTAGCGCAATCAACCATACCCATGTAAGGGTCTGCTTCACTTCGGAGTCTGTGCCACGACCGTGAGTCAAGTGTATCAGCAATGTCGCTCCAAAAATCGCTTACCCGATGACATCTTCTTCAGCGCCAGCGTACTCAGCGACTTCTTCGGCGTCCCCTTCCTCCTCTTGCGAGACGGAGTTGAACTCCGGTGAGGCGTGATTACGTTGGATGGCTAATCTCGTGGCAATCACTTCCAATGGGGTCAATATACCCGTGCTGAAAAGCACAAGGACAAGATAGAGTGCCAGGCGCCAGAGGGAGAAGTCTGGTACAGCTGAGCCTTCTTGACGAGGTAGGATAAGCCTACCAAGGGGGCGCAGGAATACGACAACGTAAGTGATATGCACAGCTTGAGTAAGCATAAGGCCGGGAGTTAAGTATAGCATCCAGGGTTTGCGCCTTTCGGTCGGAGTGAGAAGGACACGCAGAGAGACCATTGGTTTGAACCAGGGTAGCTTGTGTGGAGTAGTGACGGAACTGTACGATAAGGCGAATGGTCAGAATTAAAGGGTCGCAAAGATAAGGTGATACATACCGGTATGTGATGACCACAGCTGGCAGAGAAACAAGCATGTCAAAGATGCTGTAAATCAGAGTTGGTATGATTCCGGCAGAAGGGCCATGGTACAATCCTGTACGACGGGGACTTGAGGGCGACTCTCCGAGAAAGCCAACCGCAAACAACGTAAGTAAGAGGGCTGATAGTAAAGTAGGCACTTTTGGACAAGACCAATGAGCGAAGAACTCTCTGACTAGACGGTAGAATGGGAGGACGAACTGAAGCCCTTGTACATTCCAGCCCAGCCCTGCATGGCACATCAGCTTAGCACATATATAGATAAATGTGTCCATACCTCGATCCGTAGCACCCTTCGCATCATACCAAAGTAAGTGGTGACCATGGGGCCTGTATGTGGTTGCGCGCCCCCTTCAGCATCTAGCTGCAGACCTTTCGGATTGTAATTGGCCCGGAATCGCACTAGCGTTCCGGTCAGAGGGACAGTAATGAGCAACAGTATCCCTAAGGACAGGGCGAGAACGAGTATATCGAAGAAGCCCAGGAAGAACATGGCGGTAGAGAGACAGCCTCGACCTGCGGCGCTCGAAGTCTTACGCACCGCAGCTCGAGGCGGCAATTGCCCGCGCCGTGCTGTTGCGGCTGTGCAAGGCACCTTCATAGAGGGGCAATCAGCTTTTTCCCACCATCTTTCTCTTTCCTCAACCACCACCTCGCCCTGGGCCCGTCGTCGTCGCCGTCAGTGTCCCCGTCTCGATCGCGTATCGTCTACGGGTTGGCTCTCCTCTTGAGCTACACGCGATGTGTGTCTCTCGAGGTCTAACTTGTGTATGATACAGCTCAGTCGTTATCGATGTCGCTCCTATTTTTCCTCTGGTTAGGATGCTGCAGTCGCAGTTTTGGGCGTGGCTTATTTGGTCTGCCACGTCACTCGGAAATATCCGTCGTTCCTTGGCGTTCAACTCGTACGTCTCTCGCTTTAACTACGCATGGCAAATATCAGCAATCACCCACAAGTGCCGCGAGTGGGCCACCTAGAGGACCATCGGAAGACGCGTCAGCATCTTCCGTGCCGATGAAATATCGAATCTCGGTCGAGTTCTTATCTCAGCTTTTTGACGCCTCCACTACGATATAACCTTCGGACCTTCTGGTCATATGTCTTATCTAACGTGGAGGTTTCAACCGGTCGCTGTGACCATCACAGGTCCTGTCAGGTAGGACCCGGAAGTATGATGTTGCGTTTCCTAGGAGGACTCGTGCTGCTACCAGTTCGTCAGTAGCAAAGTTGATGGGTGGACGTACCCGGCTGCGACAACGCGGCTAGACAGCATAATATTCTGGTAGGTCCTAAGGAAGTTGAGAAAATTCTGCCTTCGTAGGTGATTCTGGGTGAACACAGTGCGTGCACTTCGTTGTCCATGTCTTTGTGTGGGCAAGGAGCTGAACTAATGCAATCGATCTCAACCGCACGGAGGGTTGTAATATATAACGACTACTTTGGCTCGGAGCTGTGCCAATGTTTCGATCTTGCGTGCTCTGATTATACTATGCCATTCGAGGAGACGAGCAATGACTTCCGCGTATCTGCGTGGAATCTGGTCTCTGGTTGAGGTGCGCAGTGCTCTGTCGCTTGTTTGCTTGTCCACTTGTCTTCCTGGGTACTATTGTCGTCTACACGCCTTGTGGCCTGTCTCCCTCCCTCTTAGGCCACGAGCGTCGCACCGTCTTACTTCGTGCCTTTCGCGCTCGGAAGCAGGTCTGTCTTATGGCTCTATTCTTCGCGCGTCACAGGAGATTGTCTGGGCTGGTCCTCTGTCATCTGACGCTAGGCTACGCTGTTGTGCCTTGGTGATGATCCATAAGCTGCCCGTTGCTCCCTCATCCTGGTGGTATTTGTCGCCTCTCGTTCTGCAGCTACACCCCTGCGACGGCAAGAGGATGTAGATTCGCTTATTCATCCCTGGTCATGGGGACCATGCACTGCGTAACCCCATTGTAGGCTTGCGCTCGGATCTCGTCGTATCATCTCCATCGAGGGCCAGTACTCCCTAGTCGTGGTGGGATCCTCTCTCGCAGTGGGTTACTCGCGTTGATCAATGCCCACGACTGTGGCTTGGTGCAGATTGTAGTGGAGGTTGTTGTAAGGTTTTTGTCTCTTATTATTCGCGTTGTCTGTTCTATGCCCTTCATGTATTTGTCACGTATTATTATTGTTCCCCGTGCAATAAAACACATTCAGCCACACTCTTGTGACACAGTTTTGACGCTCCGACCGATGGCTGTGAATTAGGGTTCTTCCCTTGCGTCTGCCTTATCACTGCCTCCCGCCGAGTCGACGCCGGCTGTTCAACCACTTTCTCTGTCGTCTAGCCATATATTAGACAATAGAATGTCTGTCGCTACAGACAGTGAAGCCAACAGGGTCAGTACAAAAAGAATTAAGATGTTATTCCACGCGTCTGTCTCACTCTGGCGCACGTCGCCGCTCTTGTAGAAAGCTTCTCTCCAACACCTAAAGTTTCGCAAGACCACTAAACCACATCAGGCTGGAGCATCTTCGTCTCAGCCATCTTCGTCCAGCATGTCCGTCCATCCTACGACGCTGAAAACGCCCCCTGCGCAGTCGCGAGATGCGACCGTTCAATCGCGGTTCTTCGCCGCGCCGCCACATTCCCTGGGGAACGTCCTCGTCCCCAGTTCCAGCCCGCCGCGCCCAGATCACAGTTATCGCTATGATCTTCCTTCCAATGGTCTGTATATGCCGCATGACGTGGCAAGCACGTCTAGTCATAGTTACTCCCATCCGTGGGGTTCTGCTAGCAGACCAGCATTCTCCGATCCCTTAGCTTCCTCAAGCGGGTTCACCAATACTACGGGCGTGTCGAACGCGTCATTTTCGCATTCTGGGGTCTCTAACGGTAGAGGCATATCTTATGTTGAGGGCTCAGCGGATGTGGAACCACCGAGGAAGCGTGCACACGTTGAGTCCCCTTCTCGTGATCCTGTCGACCTTTTCAACGTCCCTTCGTCACCGGAGGTCGTGCGTCTGGGCCAGAAACGGCGTGCTGTGGCCGACGAGTCCGTCTCCTCGGATGATTCGCTCCCCGACGTTCGCGATATATTGAACGGTCCCAAGAACCGTATTATGCGCGGGGCTCGGCCTAGCTCCATTGACCGCACGCCGTCAGAGGCTCCCTCTACTGCTGAAGTCGACGACCCTCAGCTGAAGCGCTTTACCCTGACGATGCCTCTCTTTCCACCTTCGCGCGTCAAGGCTGCTTGGTTAGAGGCTGGTAAAGACGTCAGAAGAGCAACGGACCTGCTAGAGACTCCTGGTTGGTCACCTAAATCCGCAGCCACACTGCAGGCGCCCGTGACAGGCAAGGTTAAAGAGCTCGAGGAAGCTGCGAAGGCGGAGAAGGCAGCTACGAAGGAGCGCGCCAAGAAGTCCATGATTTATGCCAACCGTGCCGTCTTGGATAAATCTCAGAAGAAGCAGAGTCCTCCGCCGTCTTCCGTCAACCCGCCAGGCAAGCCCATTGATCTCACGGCTTCCCCTCTCAGCCCGGCGGTGGGAGCTCGCCCGGCCAAGCGTGCGAAGAAGTTGGTCGTGGCCTCGGACTCTGAGGAGTCTGGTATTGAGCTCGACGTGAAACCTCGTAGCAAGCGCCCTTCAGAGGACTTGTCAGATGCAGGCAGAGCACTGAAGTACTTCAATACTGCGAGCCTAGAGGGTTTGCAAGAGCTGAGTGGTAAGTCGCGCAGCTATTCCAAATGGTATCGGGGTCTCATCTTCGCGGTAGGTTGTTCTGCTGAGCAAGCGGCCAAGATCATCGAGTTGCGACCCTTCGCATCCACGACTGACTTGAAGGGCAGGTTAAATCAAGGGAAAAAGAAAGCCGGACCTGCGGGTATAAGTCCTAGACTGTTCGAGGATTGTACGCAGATCTTCGCGGGAATTGGAGCTGTCGATAGTGTCCTCGAGGACTGTGAACGGATTGGCAGGCAGCTGAAGGCTGCAATCGCGTCCTGGTCAACCTCATCGCCGAAAGGAAAAGAGAAGGAAGGTTCTTCGGCATCCTTGTCTTCGTCAAGAGATTCCTCGGTGCTCGCTTTGGGTGACGATGTCGTTGAGGATGGCGCGTTGAGTCTGCGCTCCTTCGCTCCTAACAGCTCTAAGAAGCCTGCGGGGTTCCTCACCAATCAACCCTCGCTTCTAGCTGAAGGGGTGCAACTCAAGGAGTATCAGCTCCTCGGGGTGAATTGGCTAGCGCTGCTGCATCGAAAGCGGCTGAGCTGTATTCTAGCGGACGAAATGGGTGCGTCATTCTGCTATGCTATCTTTATCAGACGGTCTCTTACAGTCCTGCTAGGCCTCGGCAAGACTATACAAGTAATCAGTTTCTTTGCTCATTTGAAGGAACAAGGCAATAAAGGACCCCACTTGGTCATTGTCCCGTAGGTAACTTAGGGGTCATGCGTTGGATGATGTGACTCATTGATCTCTCAAGGTCGTCGACTTTGGAAAACTGGTGCCGCGAATTCGCTCGCTTTGCACCGTCAATAGCTGTCCAGACATATTACGCGGGCAAGACGGAACGCCCCGAGCTTCGGAAAATGCTGAGTGAGACCCAACGAAAGCAAGAAGACGATGGTTGGGAGGTCCTTATTACCACCTACAATCTTGCCGCGGGCGACGATAAGGATCGAAAATTCTTCCGAAGGATGGGTTGGGAGGTTTGTTTCGTTTTCACTCGCGACGTGCTTAGTCTCACGTCCGTCATCAGACAATTGTCTTTGATGAAGGTCACTCCCTGAAGAACTTTTCGTCGCAACGTTATCAGGCATTAATGAAATACGGGACCAAGTGGAGACTTCTCTTGACTGGCACTCCCCTCCAGAACAATCTACAGGAGCTTGTGGTACGCCTGTTGTTTGCTGCAACAATTGTGCACCCGTCTTACCATGGGCAACAGTCTTTGATGAATTTCATCCTTCCCGAACAATTTGCTGACGCCACAGAGAACTTGCGGGCCATCTTCAAGACGAAAGGCGACTCGAAAGTCGCGCTGCTCTCTCAAGAGCGAGTATCCAGGGCAAAAAAGATGATGACTCCGTTCGTCCTACGGCGTAGGAAAGACCAGGTACGTGATGCGGCCGACGTTCCGCGAAATAGCACGCTAATGCATCGTCTCTCAGGTTCTGAAGGATCTGCCCAAGAAGACGGAACGGATCGAATGGTGCGATATGACTGCGTTGCAGAAGAACATCTATCGGAACGCGTTGAGACGCTCACGCAAGACCATCTTTGACGTCATGGAACCCGAGACGGCCCAGAAGACTCGAGCCAAAACGAGGACGAAGGACAAGATGTACCTCGAGAACAGTTCCAACGTGCTTATGGACCTGCGCAAAGCGGCTTCGCACCCGCTACTCTTCCGTCGCCGGTTTACCGACGACGTCCTGAATTCGATATCGAAGACGCTGCTGAAAGAGCCTGAGTTCAAGAAGCGTGGGGCGGTGTTCGACGCCGTGAAGGAGGAGCTGGAGTTTATGTCCGATGCTGAGATACAAATATTCCTTGCAAAGTATAAGGTGAGTAGGAGCGCTGTCGCTGCGTGTGCTATTGGGCTTACTATAGACTGGACAGTCCACCAAGAAATATCTTCTTGACCATAGCGTCTTTATGGAAGCCGGCAAGATCAAAGCCCTGTTGACGCTTCTGGAAGATTACAAGGCTCAGGGCCGTCGAGTGTTGATCTTCTCTCAAGTGCGTCGTCGGGCATGGATAGTCATGACATTTTATTAATTTTGCCGCAGTTCACTGCAGTGCTTGACATCATACAAACTGTCTTGGACCACGAGAAGATCCGCTATATCGTTCTGACTGGGTCTACACCGGTGGACACTAGGCAGTCGCTCGTGGACGACTTTAACGAGGACGAGTCCATCTCGGTCTTCCTCCTGTCCACCCGAGCTGGCGGCATGGGCATCAACCTCACGGCCGCTAGCGTGGTGATAATGTGAGTACCCGCCGTGCGGTCTTTGGCAGGCTGCGATATGCTGATGGCGGATTCGTGTGGCAGGTTCGACCAGGACTTTAACCCGCACAACGACCGGCAGGCGCAGGACCGCGCGTACCGGATCGGGCAGGAGCGGGACGTGGAGGTGATCAAGCTGATTACAAAGGACACGATCGAGGAGGACATGCTGCAGCTGGGCGAGACGAAGCTGGCGCTGGACGAGGCGGTGGCCGGGGATATCGACGACGGGGAGGGCAAGGGCGAGACGAAGGTGGAGAAGGAGACGAAGATATCGCTGATGAATGCGCTCCGGAATAAGCTGGAGAAGGAGGGTTCGGACGACGAGAGCGTGGGTGTGGAGGATAAGGTTGGGGGGGATGAGAATAGTTGAGACGGACTCGTTTTAGAGCGACTGTAAATATATTTGGCTCCCGGATCTACAGCTACAAGACAGACTGTAATTTATATCCATCATCGCATACCGAGCGGGCGTCATTTTGGAAAAGTGCAAAGTTCGTAGAGACATAGGCATGGAAATAATACTACGGGAAGACCGAAAGCCCTCTAACAAGGCGATCGGTGCTGGCGCGAAAGTACTCGTTGTCGATGCCGCGCTCGCGCGAGTCCATGGCGGCGAGCGGGTTGCGCACGACGTACTCGAGGAACGGGCCGGTGTAGATCTGGCGCAGGACGAAGCGCAGCGAGTCGGTCGCGTGGTCGCTGAGCATGACGAACTTGTACCCGGAGAGCGTCTCGTAGAGGTGCAGCTTGTAGGTCGAGGTGCGGTAGTTGACGAACTGCTCGTCCCTGGGAGAGAGACATCGGGGGGGCGGGGTGAGTGACGACGATGTGGGGGGAGAAACGAGGGGGAGAAAAGCGTACCGCCCCGAGAGCTTGCGGATCATGTTGCGCAGCGACAGTATCACCCCGTACACGAGCTTCGCCTCCTCGTCGAACGGGAGCTCGCTCATCGGCTGCGCCCTCTCCCGCTGCTGCAGGGGGAGCGGGGGCGGCGGCTCGCTGTGGACGGCGACGACGACGCCGGAGGTGGAGGCGAGCGTGTTGCGCGGGGCGGCGGCGGCGGCGAGCGCGGGGTCGGGGTCGGCGTAGAGCGTCTGCGGGGAGACGGCGTGCGCGACGCCCGGGAGGACGCCGCCGCCTGCGCCCGCGGGCCTGGGCCGCCGGGTGCGGTGCCAGTCCTGGTAGTAGACGATGTTGCAGTGTCTGCTGGGCGCGGGAAGGGGGCGCGGGGGTTATGGGGCGTTACCGCGAGAGAGGGGAGGGGCGCGCCTGTCGAATATGTATAGACTGTGGATGGTCATGGCCGGGTCTGAGCGAGTGCGCTGGCGCGTGAGCGGGAGACGATGGGACGGTGTAACGTGTATGTGACGCAGCCGCCTGCGCAGTGTTCAAAGTGCCGACAAGGGCGAGGAACTTTGTAAAGTCCCGAGGCTAATTTGGACTGCGATAATGGCAAGTAAGAACCAGATAGGCGGGAACAAAGTCGGTGTGGCTGGAGTTGCGAGATGTCACGATACATCGACTTGTCACAACCACCGGTTCCCCCTGCACGTAGTAAGTATACAGAACTCTGACTCTACACCAGCCCATGTCCTTCCTGCTCAACACCATGCCCTCCTGCATCACACTAGTATTAATAGTCCAGCCAGCCCAAGTCCACATTCCGCCATCAGCAGCGCATACATTCGTCTCCCACTCAGACCTTCTCGTTGACGTTGTTCGCGCCGAAGGAGATGGGGAAGGTGCCGACGGTGCTGAGGCGCGGGAGGCCCTGCGGGTCCTCCTTGCTGCGCGGGGGGAGGTACACGTCCGACGCGCTGTTCAGGTACTGCACGCTAGTCAGCTAGGCGATCCAACGGACGGGGGGAAACGCACGTTGGGCAGGTACGCGTCGGGGTGGAAGGTGGTCGGCGCGGGGGAGGCGGGGATGGTCACGGTGAGTTGCTATGGGGGGGTCGAGTGAGGGGAGACGAGGGAGAGGGAGAGGGAGGGGAGTGCTTACGATCGTGGGCCGGAAGACGCCCGGGGTCTTGACCGCCCAGACGGGGAGCTGGGTGCCCGACCCGCGGAGGACGCGGTCCTCCCTCGCCCAGCCGTTGATCATGCCGTTCACCCTCCTCTGACCCTGTTACAAGTCAGCATATACGAATCGCGGCACGCGGCGTGGGCCCGGGACGCACGATGAACTTCCAGAGGGCGAGGGGGACGAGGAAGAGGAGGACGAGGCCGGCAAAGACGCCGAAGGTGATCCAGCGGACCTCGACGAGCTTGTCGACGTCGGTGTCGGCGAAGCCGAAGCGGTCAAAGTGGACGTGGAAGGCGTCGATGAGGACGTGGTAGAGGACGATGGGCACGATGACGATGGAGCTGCGGAGGGAGGAATGAGGTGTGGCGGCGGGCGGCGGGCGGGGGGAGAGAGAGGGCTTACAGCATGGCGAGCAGCGTCCAGGCGCGCTCGAACCTGGGCTTGTTGTACTGCGCCGCGACGCGCGAGATGGCGGCGACGCGGATGGCCCAGGTGTCGGCGCTGACGTGGGATTGGAGCTCAAAGGGAACGTGGGTGGGCGCCGGCTGGGAGGGCGCGAGGTACTGTGAGAGGATTAGAAAGGGCGATGTGCTGAGAGGGGCGCGGGCTTACGACGACGATGCTGTCGGTGGTGCGCTGGGGCTTGTAGTAGCGCGGGGGCTTGGCAAACAGGTTTCCAAAGGCCATGCTGGGCTAGAAAGCAGTCTTTCGCAGAAAGGACTCGGCGCGTCAAGCGGGAATGAAAGAAAGAATAAAAGTCGAGCCAGTCGACAGCGCAGGAGGTGGTGGTTGGGAGCAGAGAGACAGCGATCGCATTAGTGTAAGGGGTAATAGGTCGGAGCCTTACTTCACCGAGTAAATTAACAGTCGCGGTCTGGGGGGGCTAATTTACCCTGCGTAATTCACGGTTAATTAACCAGAGCGGGTACGGGGCAAAGCCCCGGGCTAAAGAGCTATTTGGCGTCAATTAACGCACGAATTAGGTATATTTTACCGGGAAATCAACCGTCAAATAGATCATTTCGGTATGCTACCACTTATCCCATTCCAGCGGCGTGTCATCCATAACCGCATCATCCGACACATCTCTATCGCTGTCCACGGTCTCTATGGAGGGGCCCTGTGGAGTGTCAGAGAGGACATCGTGCAGGCGCGACAAAAAAAGGCCACTAGAAATTGGCCGAAGCTTTTAGTTACCGGTCGGGCAGCCACAGGCCTGCTATAGCTATACCGACACATTTCTCAATGAAGTACATATAGCGTATGGGTAGTCTAATGTAAGAGCGTACAGACA